AATGACAGGGTACAATTGCATAATCTTCACTAGAATTGGAGACAAAAACCAAATTGAATTTCTGAATAGAATTTCAATAGTATTCTTACAGATTCCCAATAGAAACTCAATAATATTTTTTAAAGAAAATCCTTTCAATTTTTTTAACAATTTTTTTTAAACATGTGAACATAAAAGTTTAAAATCATCGAAGACAATATTACAGTAGAAGATCAAGTCGAACCAAAATTAAGAGATGGAGATGAAGGGGATGGACCCACGTGACGAGGGGGGGGGTGACCTTGAGGTGACGTCAGAGGGGGAGGTTGGGGTAGGCCAGAGGGGTGAATCGAGTTTTTTCTGATGTTGATCACGAGGGAATGAATTCGTTGAATTGGGGACAGTTTAGGGTCATTATGAAGGGGAACACGTGAACTTTTGATGGATCGAAAGATAAAAACCGGTTTATTTATAGTCTGAGAGAGGGGACGAAGCAAAAAAACAGACATTCGATTTTTTCCCAAATATTAAAGCCTTATTTAATTGTTGATTAAATGAAATAATTTCTTTTTTCTTAAATTAATCAATTTAAGGTCCGGGTGTATTATCTTTCGAATGTTATCTAGATTTTTTAAAATCTTTCGTAATCCAAAATTTTCAATTGAGTGGTACATCATGTAGAAATTCCCAAAAATTATGATAGAATGATGAAAAAATATATAAAAATTTTTTTATTATTCATTTATAATTTTTCAAAACTTCTGCATGATACAGGACTCAATTGACAATTTCAGATGACGAACGATGAAAAAAAACATCGAGATAACGTTCGAAAGATAGCACACCCGGGCATTAATCAATTTATTTCTGAGAGGATTTTTTTAAATTTACTTCTTCATTTTATTTATTTTCTTTAATCTTTTGAGCGGTGGCACGTCAAAAATTCCGGAATTCCTAATGATGAACTATACTTTAGGATATATAAAAAATGACTATAGGTCATCATAAATTCCTCTGCACCCGGAAAATCCTCCCAATACCCAGGTATAAAACAGGAGTCGTGAAGCGTAACAAATTAATTCTGACACCTTGTCAAACACGGGATTATCTCGAAAATAAATAGCACCAGGGGATAATTTGAGAGACATTATCGTTAGAAATTTTTTCCAGCTGAAAGAAAAGTCTTCGGATTTCCACTCATTAGAGAGATGAATGTTTCATTACAAAAACTGTGAAGTTCTACCTCTTCAGAATGGATTAATTCCTTCATATTTCGTATTTCGGGGTATTTGTGGATTACAGGCTTCATGGAGTGCACACGATTTTAAAATTTCATATATTTCTCCCGTTGAAAATACTCTTCTGGCAGTAGATACATTGAGGAAAAATTTCTAAAACTGTTTTTCAATTCTAAAGGTCATCAGAGTGTTGATGATAGCACTCGTTGACACAGTGGAGACTATATTTAGACGGTTTTTGAGTATTTTTTTCACTGAGAGGAATCCCTCATTTCAAAAACGAATATCTAATTTAAAAAACTGATTTAAAAAACTGAATTCGGTATTCATTACTTCATATTTGCGCAATCCACACGATTTCCAACTTGTCGAAAAATTCCTACATTCAGGAAAAATTTCTAAACCTGTTTTTAAATTTTAAAAAATCTCAAAAAGATTTTGACATAATGCGCGCTATATTTAGACGGTTTGGAGTATTTTTCAAGCGAGTGAAACTTCACCTTCAGATTTTTTTCCCTCTCGAATTGTAAATACAGCCACCCACGAAGATCTCACGGTTTAGAGATGCTTGATACTCGCACTGGCAAGTCGTCGTTTGATACGATTTTCTATAAATACACCACCGACGTGATCCAGCGAGTTCTGAATAACTCAGGGATTAATTGCGTAAGCAATAGGAGCATCGAGATATTCTCACGGGGATGGGGCTTTATCAGTCCGGGACTTTGCGGATTAATATTACAATAGCGAATCGAAAATGAGAACTCGAACATGCGGATATCTCAATCGAATGAAGAAAGTAAAGGCGGTTTCCATGAGTGCAATCGTTGAATGAGTGCGTCGAATTTTCATGAAGTCCGTCTAACGAATAAAAGAGAATTGAATACAATTCTATGAAACATGAATAAACGAATCATAATTGTCCAAATTATTTAGGTCAGAGGAAAATAGAATAATTCTGCTTTCTTAATATTGCGTTTAGAGATGAACAACAGATTAATTGAATTACCGTGTGAACTAACTAAAAATTGATAACAGTGTGGGTACGCCCTTTTGCCAGAGTATCAACAAACATTGAATTCCAGAAATTCACACTCTAAAGTGTGTTCTAGAAGGAATTGAATTGTAATTATGATTAAAATGTTATTCAGTGGGCATAGGAATTAGAACATTCGCAAATCAGTTATTGTAATATGAAAATTTAACAGCTGATAAATTGGGACATGATTCTCATCGGTCGTACTGCTGTTTGCAATGAGAATGATTATAAACAATTAATTGAAAAGAAGAATATCGAATGTGACAGGAAAAAGGGCATAATGAAGCTGATCTTCAATCACTTATTAGAAAATATCTAGGCTAATGAAAACTTATAATAAAATATCTAAATATAATGGTTCTCCGTAATTTTTTTCGCTTAGCTGAATAGGGAAATTTGGAAGATAGGAATAACTGAAGTCTATGCAAGTTCCCTACTGTTGGAATGACTTGTGTTACGTCTGTCGTGGCGTAATGTCACTGCTCATTTCGCTTGGGTTTCGGGAGGGTATGATGAAACGAGTGCAAACGCCCACGAGGGAATGAGTGAGAATTTAGAACGAGGGAGGCCCCGGCTAAATTCTCGACTTGTAGTCGAGAACGGTCTGGTGGAATGTTCTGAAGAACATATGAGGAATTTTTTTCACAGGAAAATATGGAGGCATTTTTTAAAGATTTTTATACATTTTTTTACGAAACATTAAACGTTTTACTATTTTCCCATTTTAATTCACTATTGGATCAAGGATATCCAATCATTTAGGGATCTGTTGAAGATTCGTAATCGCCGAATTGCTCAATCAAATTGCGTCAGAGAGATGTGGAAAAATTAATTCATAAATAATGGAATTTTTTTTATTGACGAAATCGATTTCTGAGGAAATTGTGAAGGACAACAACTATATTGCGATTTACAACGAAATTATTTTTAGAGGGAAACGTTAGTTATTCATGGGTTATTTACAACAAAACGGTTTTAAATAAAATTTGAGGATTTTTGGCATTTCTTTTTGTAGATTTTTTATATTTTTATTTACGGAAGAATTTTACTCTTTTTGATCAATATTATCCGATCGTTTGGAGATCGGTTGAAGATTTTTAATGATTTAATTACTCAATCAAATTCCATTACAACAATTTCAAAAAATCAATCATTTCTTTGAGACTCGCCTCGGCGTTTCTTGAAGCCCATTGACTTCTCTTCTGCGAAATCCACTTTTCGATAGTTGGCATCGCTCCAGTCAGATATTCGCGTTTTTCATCATTGATTCTCACAGCTACTTCAATGCCCATATGACGCGCTCTAAGAATAGAGTTACGATTGATGGGGTTGAGGAGTCGGTTTCGCTTACTTGTTCACAAGAATATTCTGAATGTCAGGAGATGGGTTCAACCGAAGGGAAACAGGGAGTTTAATAAATTTTTTTAGGGCAAAAACAAAGACTTGACGAGTGAATGCTCATCTACTTTTTCCAATCGCTCATTTTTCTTTGCCCTTCATCGACTTTGGCTTGATTAACTCCATCACTTTCTGAAAATTTAAAGCTTCTGTATACTTTATACAAATAACCCCGCCCCAATAATGAGTCATCACGCGGCAATTCCCCAAATTTCCCCGCTATGACGTAATCCCACTGAAATATAACGATAATGAATGGTAATAGTTCAGTTGATTAAGGAGACGATTACATGATGGATTAATTAGAGATTGACAGAGTGAAATTCTACCTTTCAAAGGTATTTTTTCAGAATTAAAAATTATAACTGAAAAATGCAGGTTAAATTATTTTCTTGAATTGAATTGAAAATTACCGGTTCATTAATTTTCGGGATTTCTATAAATTTTCATCTAATAACTGAACTAACATTTACAGTTCCCATTCATATTTTCATGAAATTGTGAATTGTCAATTCTGAAATTTCTTGGAATTTCACTATACCTGTCACACATTACAACAGAAACATTAAATTTTTCTTGTCTTTATACACGTCCGATTATTCGTCCAAAATTCGCGACTAAAATTCTCATCGAAACCATTTCTCCGGGAACTCCCCTTTCCCTGCCCCTTTTAAAAATTAAATTTTATAAAATTTCCCTTATAAAAATCCTCTGCAGAATTATCTCGCCAAAACCAAGAGATTCTAGAATAAAATCCTCAGACTTTTTGTTGAAAATTCAATTATCAACTCTTTCCGTTCTTAAACCATTTTACCACTTCGCTATTGACTTAAAATCAGAATAAATATTCAAAATTAAAATTTTCATTGAACCCACACCCGTCACACCTCCAACCGCCCAAACCCGCGACTAAAATTCCCACCGAACCCATTTCCCCGTGAACCCTCCCCCCCCTCTCCCCATCGCCTCTCCCACGCCCCCACAAAAACGGTTCCAACTTCCCATAAAAAACCGCGTCCTGACCCCCCGTCTCCTCTAAAAAACCCGAACAATGTTCGAATTGTTGTTCGATTCAAACGAATGGGCGCGCGTCGCGACGGGCGCGGTATTTCCGGGGTTCGCAGTAGCCGCAGAGCCCCCGCCGCGTGCCAATTCCCCCGCGAAACCTCCGAATTTTAACATAAACCCCCCGAAATTGCCGCCGACCCCCCGAAACCCTCGAGAGGCGCATTTTTTGGCGTCGAAAAAACCGGGAAAAATGGTCCTCTCGAGGGCAAAAAAAATTTAATTTCCCCCTGGAACTACTTTCCGCGTCCATTAAACCACCTGGAGCCCTCGAGTGCGCATGCGCCCGGCGTACAATGGCACTGGAGTCGGCCATCTTGGCTCGCCAGTGGAATCCCACCAGTCAGTGGTCGCTCGTGTTACGACAGTTCGGAGCATAATCGCCGCTCAAACAAAATCTCTCCCGTTCAGTCGGCAAAAATCGTCTCGTAAAATCGATCTAAAAAATTCTAAACGACGACAAATAACTCGTCAAAGGGACAACAACCGGGGCAATAATTAAATTCGGAATAATCGGAGGCACTCGTGATATTTCAGTGACAACCGAAAGTGAACTAAATCCGTTCGTTGGAATAATTATTTATCGGTGGAAAAAATGGCGATGCAAGTGCAGGGCACGATTCTCGATGTTCTCAAGAAGAAAATGAGACAGACCAAAGAGGAGATGGAGAAGTACAAGGACGAGTGCGACGAGTATCAGAAGCGGTTGCAGGTGGAAGTGATGCGACGCGAGGAAGTGAGTGCCATTGAGCATTTATCAAAGATTTAATTAGCGAGGGGATTTGCTGGGGACATTCGAGGGAATGAGCGATCGTTGAGGGCTCTCGGTGTTTCTGGGAATTTTTTCAACGACCGGTTGTTGATTTTGTCGCGAGGAATTTCGTGATTGCCGGCGTCGGAAGGATCGATCGTGTGCGTGTCAAGAGGGGGGCAGTCGACGAGCTTTGGTTCGCGAGGGGCGAGGGGGGGCCTCTCGCTTCGCTGAGGCGCGTTCTTGTCAAGTTCCTTTCCACATTCTTTTCGGTTTTATGGAGACTCGTGACCCTGAGGAGATGACGGGCTCCACGGGGTTTGAGACAGCAAATCGATTATTTCGACGGTTTTTTGCACTAGGAGGAAGGAGTTTTGGGAAAGATGATTTCCTTCACTGGTGGAAGAAAATGAAATTTCGCGGACAGTTGACTACTCACTCGCAGGACAATGACTGCGATTTGGGGGGAAAAATCATGAAATTTCAGGTTTCAATGAAAATTTGGTAAAATTCCAGAATTTTAAGCAGCAGAGACGAGGATTCCTTGATTTATTTGAGGTTCGAATGTAAGATGAATATTCAGTGTCAAATTACATTGAATTTTCAGGGAAATCTGAAATTTATAGATTTTTTTCAACTCTAAATCGCATTCAGAGTCACTGTGGTGAAAATTCAAGAATATTTTTACCGGCATTTTCTGGTTTTCTATTCATTTTCAGGGAAAAATAGAACTGAAATTTACAGGTGGTTTTGATTTTTTCGCAAAACTCTGAATTTTCAATGACGAAATTCCTTCAAATTTCAGTGGTAATGAAATTCGATAGAAATTTTCACAAAGTGTACCGGAAATTTCGGACAAAAATTCTTAACAGTGTTGATGCAAAAGAATATTCTCTTGTCAATTTCTAGATTTGTGAAATTTCGTGGTAAATAATTTTGTGGTCACACTGAGAGACTGAAGTCTTTCAACAGGACGAGATTCTCATAACGAAATTATTTTTCAAAAGATATCACGATTCTTAAAATTGAAAAAATTTTGTTGTCCTCGCACGCTTATTAATAACCTCTCAAGCCTTGAACAAAAATTTAAAAAAATTCAAACAAGAATAATTTAAAATCATTGTAAAATAGGAAACAACTTCCTAATTCTGTTGCAATATACAAAATTTGAAAATACGAAGAGGAGAAATGATATATAAACCATCAATGATTTTATGCCTGAAAAAAATACTATTTAAAATAAATATTTTATTCCATTCAGGGATCCCCATCAATATTAAATTTCTGTAATATCACAAGGATTTGACCCTTACATTATTGAAGGTTTAAAATGTTGATTCAATTTTTCAAATAATATAATATTAATAATTTGATTTTTCACGAATAATGATACATTAAAAATTTGTTAATATGAAACTGTAAATTTACTACTAAATGAATAATTCAAATTTCTTAAAAGGGGATTATCGATTACACAAGTAATGGTCAATCTTCCTACCTCAAATTATTGATTGATAAAATAGTTGAAAATTTGAATATTTGAATTGATGATACTTAATTACTCAGAAAATTTCAAGAGTGATATTATCTAATTGAGGGCTACAATATTAACCGTAATAAAATATTACAAATTTGGCTATCGCTGATTCCATTATTGAAATAAGTTTTTTATTTCTATTTTTTGAAACATCGAAAATATCAATTCAATTTCAGGTTTAGAAGCCAGAATAAATTGTGATTATCCATTTATTTGGAATAATAACCTTGAAATAATTATTTCAAATAGTATTACATCAGGAATAATTGTGAATTCTTGAATTTTACGTCACCCATTGATTGATTTTCCTCCTTAATTCCCTCTCAATTTTCTAACATGCACCACAAATTTATTACTCCCGTGATTACGAATGACAAGAAATAAAATATAGAAACCATTCATAATTTTATGCCCGGGACGAACGAATACGATGCAATTGTATGAAATAACAGCCTTCGGATAATTATTTCAGACAGTATTGCGTCGTAAATAACTCCTCAATCAATTTGTTTATCATAAAAAACTCCTTCAATTTATTAACCACGGGAGTTTGGGGTAAATGAACTTGAAGCCATTCATAGCATCCTGGCAAATTGGCACTAATTGTGTACACGTAATAACGCGCTCCAGAACAGCTCCGGCATTAACAGCCCTGTTGCATAATTCCCCTATGTGTATCTTCCCACCGTTGCCTCCGAATTAAATCATCTCCTCCACTTTTTGTTTCGATCGCTCGATCAGAGATTACGAGTGTTATCGTTGTGATTTTATGTGCCTCACCCCGGGGAAATTGCGAGGACATTATCTGAATTCAGCAGTGAAGTGGTAAATGTAGATAAATCGACTTATCTCCCAGTTGACTTTTTGAGGAATATTTCGAAATCTAAGGGAGATAGCGAAATTTTCGTAATTACATTTGTTGTAGCTCTCAATCGGCTCTACAAAAAAGGTTATAACAAAAATTTTGCTATCTCCCTTAGATTCCGAGATATTGATTGAAAACTGATCAGTAGTCAGACTTATCTCCCAGTTGACTTTTTGAGGAATATTTCGAAATCTAAGGGAGATAGCGAAATTTTCGTAATTACATTTGTTGTAGCTCTCAATCGGCTCTACAAAAAAGGTTATAACAAAAATTTTGCTATCTCCCTTAGATTCCGAGATATTGATTGAAAACTGATCAGTAGTCAGACTTATCTCCCAGTTGACTTTTTGAGGAATATTTCGAAATCTAAGGGAGATAGCGAAATTTTCGTAATTACATTTGTTGTAGCTCTCAATCGGCTCTACAAAAAAGGTTATAACAAAAATTTTGCTATCTCCCTTAGATTCCGAGATATTGATTGAAAACTGATCAGTAGTCAGACTTATCTCCCAGTTGACTTTTTGAGGAATATTTCGAAATCTAAGGGAGATAGCGAAATTTTCGTAATTACATTTGTTGTAGCTCTCAATCGGCTCTACAAAAAAGGTTATAACAAAAATTTTGCTATCTCCCTTAGATTCCGAGATATTGATTGAAAACTGATCAGTAGTCAGACTTATCTCCCAGTTGACTTTTTGAGGAATATTTCGAAATCTAAGGGAGATAGCGAAATTTTCGTAATTACATTTGTTGTAGCTCTCAATCGGCTCTACAAAAAAGGTTATAACAAAAATTTTGCTATCTCCCTTAGATTCCGAGATATTGATTGAAAACTGGTCAGTAGTCAGACTTATCTCCCAGTTGAGTTTTTGAGGAATATTTCGAAATCTAAGGGAGATAGCGAAATTTTCGTAACTACATTTGTTGTAGCTCTCAATCGGCTCTACAAAAAAGGTTATAACAAAAATTTTGCTATCTCCCTTAGATTCCGAGATATTGATTGAAAACTGGTCAGTAGTCAAAATTGACTTATCTCCGTTTACCACTTCGCTACTGAATTATTTCTTATCGGGTGGAGAATAACTGTTTCGACCTTTGCATTCTCGCCGCGGGAGTATTAAGTCTCTGAGAATGACGAAAATGGTCTTGATGCATAATCGAGACCATTTTTGGTCTCAATTCCTTCAATGTTCTTGCATCACGTGCGGTTTTGTCCACCTCTTCCTCCCCACAAAAAATGGAAATTCCTGTGATTGAAATATTCCGTGACAGCTCAGTGGCCATTGGTCAAGTGGGTGTGGTTGTTCCTGATGGGGTATAAATCAATCTGTTCAATTAGAATTTCTCATGCTCAATTATCTGGGATTACCTCAATTCTCATGCAAATGATGAATTCAATTATTTGAGAATAAATAGTCACAAGTTGGTTTTTAGGTGTTTTAAAACTTTATCGATTTATTTCTACTTTTAGCGGCAGAAAGACGAGAATTTTCCGGTTATTTACAGCTTTCGTTGATTTTCCCGTAGAATTTTGGATTTTCAATGACGAAATTCCTTGAAATTTCAGTGGAACTATAATTTCATAATGATTTCCAAGAAGACTACCGGAATTCTGCTCCAAAAACTTTTAACAATGATGAGAAAATTGCCTTTTGTTGAATTTTCAAGAAGAATTTTATCCTGAATTAAGGCCCGGGTGTACTATCTTTCGAACGTTATCTCGATGTTTTTTTTTTCATCTTTCGTCATCTGAAATTGTCAATTGAGTCCTGCATCATGCAGAAGTTTTGAAAAATTATGAATGAATAATCAAAAAAAAGTAGAAAAAATTCGTAATTTTTTCAAAGACCATTTTTAATTTATATTCAGAATAAGTTGAATAACAAGAAATCGAAAAATGTATCTGATTTACGGTGACAAATGGCGGCCTGTCACCCAATATCATGCAGGGGGAAGACTGATTTCGTAAATCTTTTCCCACACTGCACAGAGACATTTATTACGGAAAAGGCTCTTTGAAAAAAGTTGTAATATTTTGGAGAATTTTTTAATCACACTTTTATCACGTAAATTAGATATTTGTAATTTCCACTTTTTTCAACTTATTCTGAATCTCAATTAAAAACGCTCTTTGAAAAATTTCAGAATTTTTTCTATTTTTTTTATCATTCTATCATAATTTTTGGGAATTTCTACATGATGTACCACTCAATTGACAATTTTGGATTACGAAAGATAAAAAAAATCCAGATAACATTCGAAAGATAGTACACCCGGGCCTCAATTGAAAATTTATAACATTGAGAATTGATATGTAGCTCTCACTTAAATTTCTCTCTCTGATCCGGATATACTCAACAAAAAATAGATTCTGTAAAAGTAAATTACTCTTGTAGTCTTGACACTTCGAATTTAGTCGATCAGTTTATCTCAAATATCTCAGACTCTACCGTGAATACCAAAAATCATATAAGAACCTTTTTTATGGCTCTCGCATTTCTCCACAAAAAAGTTCTCCCTCAGATCCCGAGATATTCATTGAAAACTAGACACCAAAACGGTTTTTTTTTTCTATTTTACCACTTCAGTACAGAATTACAATTTTCGTGAAAACGAGTGGAAAGGACATCTTTGAGGGGATAACCAAACAAATTATCGTTAGTGATAACTCCTCTGCCCTGGGAAACTCAGGGAGCGTGTAATGATCGTCACGAGTTCGTGAACCATACGGATTTCCGGGACCGTTTCACGGAAGAACATGAATTACCCGATTTCGTTCGATTTGAGCCACTTGAGCGTGTCCCAGTTTGACAATGGACTGGGTGGGACGTGTTTTTTTATATTCTATCGTTTTAGCTTTTACGCTCATGTCACGTGTGGAATCGTTAATTCAAGTGTATTTTACAGCAATGTGGAATGAAATCGGTGGAGGGTGAAATCATCGATTATATTACAGCATTTTCACGTGTCAATAAACATCAAGTTCTCTCGACAACGAGTGGTTTTAGGGGAAAATGTGAGAAGAAATTTTTTGGTGGAAATTTAACTCCCTACCAAAAAGGTCCTGTGGAATTTCCTCGTAAAACCACTCGATTCCGACATAAACGCAAAATTATCAAAAATTGCGGACGTTCACGTACGAAAAATTCCACTAAATCGTCTCGTCTTCAATCGTCAATAGCTCAGAAACCGCAGAGTGAAATTTAGCAATTTTTTTTTCATTCCCAAGATGTTTTTTCGAGCCGTAAAATGAAATTTGACTCGTCCAAATCGCATCGTTGAGTCGGGAGATATTGCCGATTGAAGAACGGTGTTCGTTTTGCATTCGTTGGATGCGGTTTAATAGTTCTTTAAATGTTTGATATTTCATTTTTATTGATTTTGTATTTTTTTTATTGTTTCCAGGCTGAGTCTGAGGTCGCAGCCCTCAACCGTCGCATCCAGTTGCTCGAGGAGGATCTCGAGAGGTCCGAGGAGCGTCTCGCAACCGCTACTGCTAAACTCGCTGAGGCTTCCCAAGCCGCTGATGAGAGCGAACGGTGAGGCGTCAATTACTTCTCGTTCTTATCGTGATACCAATAAGTCGTTAGGAAATGTCCATAAGGGAATTTATCGGGAATTGAAGGTCGGGTGGCCGAGGGAGAGCGCATATTACAATTTTTCAATTGAAGGAAGTGTGCGAAATTGTTAAAATTACCTCTTGGAGGCAGATTTTTTTCCCATTTGTTTTTGATAGACTGTAATTGGGGGGAATGACCATGAATTGTCGATAACTGGTCCTCAGGTCCCCAAATTTTACTCTAAAAAATTTTTGGAGTTCTTTTTTGATTAAAAAAATTGAAAAAGTCGGCAGAAAAATTGGAAATTATTTTGTAATTTAATTTAGCATTTTTTAGTGATGAAAATTCTAAATTCTTTTAGAACTCCAAAAGTGTTCGTGAACTTCCTAAAAATCTAGAGAGATTCTGTAGGATTTTAAAGACTTCTGAGACTAAAATCAAGAATTAAACTATTCAAATCAGAAATAAATCCAAAACGAAAATGTAAACGAAATATTAATATCCCAATACAAAATTTCTGATATGAATAAAAAGAAGCTGTGACTCAATATTCCAAGTGAAGTTTTAATTTTTAATTTGGTGCTGAAAACACGAGATGACAATGTTCTAAACACGGAATTATATTGATGAGATGAACGACAGATTAGTTGAATAACCGTGTGAACTAACTAAAAATTGATAATAGTGTGGGCACGCTCTTTTACCAGAGTATCAACAAACATTGAATTCCAGAAATCCACACTCTGAAGTGTGTTCTAGAAGAAATTGAGTTCTAATTATGATTAAAATCTTATTCATTGAGCATAGGAATTAGAACATTCGCAAATCAACAGCTGATAAATAGGGACAATTAATTATAAACAATTAATTTTCCTTTTTACACTGGAGTTCACTCATACTACTTTAGAAATGCTCTCTCCCTCGTTCATCGTCGTTAATTCAACGTTTTGCTAGCATCCCCGATGCCCTTCGATGATCAAGAGAGAAGCCTCACAAAACCTTTCACTCCACACACATCTTGTGGTGAAAAACAACATGTTTACCTGCTTCCACCTATAGCTTGACATCTCGATGTTGACTCATCCACACTGATTACTCCAACGAGATACGACAAGGTGATCCATGATTGGAGTACACCTTCCAGTTTTATTACCAAAGTTCAACGAGATGTCAAGCGAATGTTGAGATTTATTTCTGTGTTCATGATGAGTCAGTATCTGAGGTTAAAATAGCGTTGTCGCTTGGTCATCGAAGATGACCATTCACGATGATAAAGAAACTCGAGCGAATTCCTCACGATTTCTATGATGAATCATTAGTGGAGTTTTAACAAATCAGGTTTTATCTCGATACGAATGAATTTAGAGAAAATCCAAGGGATATTTTTTTGTTGGGAGTTTCATTCTCCTTAGAGATAAAAGTCTTGTAACATTTTCTTTTAAAATCGTTACTTTATCACATAAAACGATTAAATGTACATTATTTTCTAATGAAAATGGAGAAATGAATGAATGAAAATAACACAATTAACAACATATGTTCGAGTTGAATTGTTAGCGATCGAAATGTCTCCACGGGGAGTAATTTTACGAGGAAAAGTCACAGGACATTTTTTATTGCAAATTTTCTCATCTACAAAAAAGGTCGAAAGCAATTTCCCTCTAAAACCACTCGTTCCCGAGATAAATCCCGTCTAAACAAAAAAGTCAGAAGCCACTCCACAACTGAATCCATGATTCATCGTTCTAAAATCTTATTTCTGATTCATTTATTCATCCCACCTCAAATACCCGAAGGAATGCGCACTATTTATCACACAAACATTACCCCTACCGTCACAAAAATTACCATGAACACCACAAATTCTCCAAACAAGAAATAAATAAATAAATAAAAATAAGACAACAAAAGTTGTCGAAGTTGAATTGTCAACAGTCGAATTATCTCCACAGGGAATAATTTTACGAGAACACCTCAAGAGACATTTTTTATTGCAAATTTTCTCATCTACAAAAAAGGTCGAGGGTAATTTCCCTCTAAAACCACTCGTTCCCGAGATAAATCCCGTCTAAACAAAAAAGTCAGAAGCCACTCCACAACTGAATCCATGATTCATCGTTCTACAATGTTATTTCTCATTCATTTATTCATCCCAATTCAAATAACCGAAAGAATGCACACTATTTATCCCACGAACATTACCATTACCCTAACAAAAATTGCCTTCAACTCCACAAATTCCGCAAACAAGAAATCGTAAAGAGTATTCAGCGATTCAGCGTTATCTTATCAGCTCGAGTTTCTCTTTCACTCGAAAGGGAAATCACTGACGTTGGAAGAAAGGAAATACACATGAATAAATTCGCCTAGGATTGACGTCCAAATGACGCTCAAAATCCAAATTTGGGCAGTCTACGTGTCTCGCGTTATTCATCAACTGAAATTCCTCCTTAATTGATCAATTAAAATATGAAACGCCCAGTGCACTAAAGGAAAAGTCATTGAAATCTCTTCCAACGCAAGTGCATTCTAAAATTAATAATTTTATGAAACAATGAACAAAATCATCAGGATACGCAAGGCCCTTGAAAACCGCACGAACATGGAGGATGATCGGGTTTCCGCACTGGAGCAACAGCTGGTTCAAGCCAAGCTGATCGCCGAGGAGGCGGACAAGAAGTACGAGGAGGTGGGTTTGCGTGACAACGGCTAATGATTACCTTTGTGTATCTCAAAACGAACAGCAATCAAATTCAAAATCATCTGAGAGGTATTTTCAAAGGGGCAATGGCACGTCGCCTGGAGAACTATTCAGTTTTTTAGAAATATCTCGGAATTTAAGGGACATAGGAAAAAAATCATCTCCACCTTTTTTGTAGAGCACATTTTTCGGTATGAGAAAGGTTGGAATGAAATTTTCGCTAGCTCTCATGGATTCCGAGATATTTCCGAAAAACTGATGGTGAAATCTGCAACAAATCGAGATAACTTAACTTTGTTTTCACTTTTTTAAAAATATCTCTGAATCCAATAGAGATACCAACAAATTTGTCAGGAACTTTTTTATAGATATTTCTTTCCTCTACAAAAAAGGTCTTTAGAAAAATCTCGCTATCTCCCCTCCATTTCAAGATATACCCAAAAATCCAAAACTCGGACGAAAAAAAAATTGATTTCTGTTCGTTTTCGGGAGTTTTCCAGGCACAGGTTCATCAGTACCAGAGCAGAGACCTTCAGACTTCATCAGAATAATCTAAAAACTCTCCATGAACAATCGAATTAATGAAATTTTTCCATTAATCAATTATAAAGCGCCCGCAAGATTCTCGAGAACCGCAGTTTGGCCGATGAAGAGCGTATGGATGCCCTCGAGAATCAGCTGAAGGAGGCTAGATTCCTCGCTGAGGAGGCTGACAAGAAATACGATGAGGTTCGAGAGCCAACAATGAAAAGTGACTGCAGTGATGGCTCCTAGTCGATAGCAAAGTGCCTAACCCTAACTTGCTGTGTGTTACATGTGTTGAAAATACGGGTTTTGAGGGGGAAAATTGTTGAGTTGTTGATGGTTACCACACGGATTAGCGTTTCCCATTTTGGCTGTGCTCAGTTTTTGCGTTATCTCGTGAATTTGTTCATGGGAGCAGAGAAAAATTAATGAATCGTCAGCTTTTTGAGATGAAAAGGTGATTTATTGTCTGGGGAAATAGTGTTCGTGCTAATTGTTCGTCTGATTAGCACGATTCTTACTGATGATAATGGAGATGTTGAATATCTGGTGCTGAGGAGATGAAAGTGAAGTGCGGATTTTCGTTCATTAACGGTTAATTAATTTTTTTTATCAAGAAAATTTGGTGGATAATGGTTTTAAAGCGTCAAAACTGTCGAAAAATTATGGAAAACGTCAGGTATTTCTGTTCTTTGATGCATTCTGCCTTCGTTCTACACAATTGCAGTGAAATTCGTCATTAAAAGTTCACAATTTGTCGTGAAACTCAATGGAAACCAAATTCGCAGTGCAATATTTCAATGAAAATCAGTCGTGATTGACGAAATTCTGATGAAAATATTCTTGAATTTCAAGTTTCATCAAAAATTAAAATAACCCGCGAACATTTTCGTTTTATTTCCACTTGAAATTCGTGTATTCAATCAATTTTTCAGCTTAAACCTGAAATTCCACTGGCCTTTTTCCCCTGAATCAAATTCAACATCTCTAGACTGAAAATTACAACTCGACTGAAGTGAAAATCTCCCGGAGATGATAATTTGTTGGCGGTTATCACACGGGATGATAATGGAGATGTTGAATGTCTGGTGCTGAGGAAATGAAAGTGAAGTGCGGGTTTTCGTTCATTAACGGTTAATTCATTTTTTATTACGAAGAAAATTTGGTGCTTGTGGATCAGTGAAGGTTTAATTATCATTTAACTTTTCAATATCGGGGTTTTTGGGTCATGGGGGTGGGGTTTAATGACGCAGTGTCATCGACGAAGGATTCAGTAACGTTAATCAATCATTAATCTGGGGATTTATGGGGTAATTACGGTTGTGGCACAACGACACGCCTGACCTGAGACTGTGTGGCGAGATATTTTTTTATTCCGAACTAGAATTTCAAAATAGTTTAACGAGAATTTTAGCAGTCGAAATTTGGGGAGCTATTGTATAATATATAGTGTTTGTATAAAATTGCCAAACGGGATTTTCTATGGAGTGTTAGATGTTGCGATAGGTCTATCTGTGCTGTGATTGAGATTCATTGAGGATTAGGGGGATTATTGGATTATTTCGGGAGACGAGTTTGAGACTGTTTTGTTAGACTCATTGTGGTCGGATATTCTTGGTTGATCGGACTCATCTCGGTGTGGGCTGCGGAGATGAGGCAAGTTTTCATGGAGAATAGACCTTTTTGTTATGAGATTTCGGAAAACTTTCAACAAATTCATCTTCAATAATTGTCGTTTTTTAATTTTTTTTTATTCATTTCAATAAAAAAATTTTAAGTGTACGAAATAAATGACTCATTAATTTCAAATAAATTATCTATTGGAATAAAACAAAAACGATGAGTTAATTTTTAATGAATTGTTTACTCGAAGCAAAGAATTTTTTTTATATTTAAAAAACGAAAGAACAGAAAAAAATTTGTTGTACGTAAAAGAAGAAATAAAAATGAAGTTTATTGAATTGAAAAAAAATTAAAATCAAGAGAAAGGTGGGGGGCAAAGGATAAATTCTCTTCATAATTTATTTTTTCGCGGGAAAAAAAGTAAAAATTTGCATTTTTCAATTAAAAAAGGAGTTTTTAGAAATTATTTGTCATTGATTTTTTAACATTTGAAAAAATCAACTTTTTGCCTGAATTTTGTTGAGCTTTTAATTATTTCTCTATGAAATATATCTCTTCGATGAAATTAATATTTTTTCTACACTGAGAAAAAAAATCACAAGGAAAATAAGTACAACCTGAGAAATGATGCATTTTAATCAAATGAAAATCTTTATTTTTTTGAAATTTTCTCATTCTTCTGAAACAAAATTTTTTTCATCATACAAAATAAATGACTCATTAATTTCAAATGAATTCCCCACTAGAATAAAACAAAAATGATTCAATGTTCAATGAAGTGTTCATTTGAATCAAAGAATTTTTTTTACGTTTCAAGAACTATTCATTTGCTGAATAAAAATAGATATGAAAATAAAGTTTATTGAATTGAAAAAAAAATGAAATCAACAGAAAAAAAAATTGTTTATTTTTTAATTGAAAAAAGTTTATTTTCACGACTTAGATTTCTCAAGTGAAAAGGTCTGTTGGAAAAATACAAAATCGACATCAAATTGTAAAAAAATATTGAATAGAACATGTCAACTATGAATTTAAATAAATAAGATCGCAAATAGCGATTTAATAGGAAAATGAAACCGATAAAAGCAGAGAGTTACTTTCCGTAACTCGACAGGTTGGATTTGTGTGCTGTATTCAGCCTGTAGATGATATTAACCACTTCAGCATTAACGAAGGAGTGTATTCCCGAATTAATATTCATAAAATTCACCAGTTGATCTAATTCCTCCAGGTTGTGCTGACGTAACGACTGCAGAACTTGTGCAATTTTTCAAATAATTACTTTGTTTTATTTTTAACAGCAACCGAGTGGCGTCTGAGAGTGCTTTGACGACAGAAATGACATTTCACGAGTTTAATTAAGTGTAGGAATTATTGAGGGAATGTGAATACTGAAATTGCCGGTCTTCGCTTTATATTTTAGTAGCAGAGAATGGAAATTATGACATTCTGGTTGAATTTAAAATTGTGGAGAGATTTTCATTGAAAGATCTCTTGGCATTTTCTCTTGAATTCACTTTTTTGAACGAATAAAGATCTATTTCCTCACTTGATTCAGTCATTTTTAAACTCGTGAGGTATTGTTGAATGTTTAACTGATATATTTACCCATAAAGTCAGTTTTCATAAGTCATTCGTTGTTATAATCCATAGCATATAATTTTTATGTTCCATCAGCTGCCGATTGTCACAAGAATCATGTTGAAAATTAGGGACAATCGAAGATTTTATTGATGTCTTCATAAAAAGTTATAGATAGTCTGGGGTTTTAATGTAGAATATTTTTAAAGCAACAAAAAAATATAGTTATTGCTCCCAATAAATTAGCAATTGTCTTCCGAATGGGTTCTCTTTTTTAAATTCTTATTTCACTATTCTCTTCGTCTATTTTTTCATGTCATGGTACTATCATCAATTGAAATGTCAGCAGAATTTTGCGTAGTATTTCGTTCTGTCAAATAATTCTACATTCAGACTCTCTCAAAGCTGACATTCGCAGCCCAAAATCACAAGCTTTTTCATTTTTTCCCTAGATCGCATTCAAAACTCATTGAAAACTACAACTAGACTGAAGTCAAAACTTTCCAAAGAAACTAATTTTCGACATGATTTTGTTAAAATTCTCCGGATAAATATCCCTTCCTTTAACTAAATAAACAAAAAAACCAAATCCCAGCGCTTTCTCCATGGATTTCTATAAGAATTTTATAAGAACTCCATTGGAGTTCTATCATAACTCTATTAGAAAATTCTTTTGATTTATTACGTCAATTTTATCAAAAAATATGTAACTTTGACGTGCATTTTCCATAGCTATTTGTCTATAAAAAAAGTATGCGAGAAAAAACTAAAAATACAACAGAAAAAACTTAAAAAAATAAATGTCCAAGAATTTCTTCTGAAAAATCAAAATCAATTTACTTCTTTCTACCAAACATCACTAAACGAAATCACAAAAAAGAAATCGAATTTTGCAATAGAAATTCAATAGAAATCTTATAGACTTCGAAAGCAATGCAGTAGTATTTCTAAAAAAAAACACTAGATTGTTCTCCTTAATATTTCCACACGTGTTTCTATTTTCATTTGAAGTATTATGAAAACTGGCTTTGACGAAAGATAATAAACAAACCTCGGATGTTCATTGAATAAAATGGCCCCTGTATCGTTAAAATAGGTCGCCCGTAAATTGGCCATGGTTGAGGCCGATCTCGAGCGTGCTGAGGAACGCGCCGAGGCTGGAGAATCGTAAGCACCGTTTTACCTCATTTGCGTGTTCACCTAATAGTATTTATACTTTATTTTTCGTAGCTCAGTTTATCACATGTTAATTAACCCTCCTCTGACAATCGACGCAAGAGTGTTGACTAATTGAGTTGAGACCCCCAAACACTGACTCCGACCTTAGAATCCTTCTAGTGATTCCTTCCGGTGTTTTTTTTTTAAGCTGTAATTGATAGGATAGGCAGCTCGAAGGGATGATCCAGTTGCTGACGGGGGACGCGAGGCAGATCCTTTTATGTTATCTTTAATTCAGTTTTAGCACTAGATTTGTAGATTTTTGCATGGTGAAGCTGTAGTGGTCGTTATTATAATGATTTTTCGTTGATTTTTGGTGTTTTTGCTTGGGCATGATGTGCGTTGGCATAATCCAGGTCGCCAGGAAACTAGTCATGATGGAGCAGGATCTTGAGAGGGCTGAGGAGAAGGCTGAACTCTCGGAAACGTAAGTATGCGGTTTGTTTTTGGTTTACAGCATGGGTAGATGTGGTACAGTTGTTTTAATTTAGGGCATGAGGTCTGGAAGAGTTACTGGAACATTTTTACATTCCCTCGAAGGGGTGATTAATATTTGAGATCGAGGACAATGAGTTCAGAGGCCTCGGGAAGCAAAAAGAAACTACCAGAATGCCCGGAAAACTTTTCGCTGGGAATGCTCAGCCAAAAGGAGATGGAAAAATGTGAATGATGGCTTAAAAAATAGGTTCATTTCGTAGAAACTGGATAAAGTGAGTTGAGGGTGATTTGAAGAGGATGAATAATTTTAATAAATGTTTGAAAACATGAGGTGGGGGCATTGCCATCTTTGAAGCCCCTTCCGACAGAGGGAGGGGGTATCCAAGGTGGCGGCGTCCACACCCGTCAACCACCTCGTATTTTTGAACATTTTTTGAAATTATTTACCATCTTCAGATCACATCCGATTTGTTTCATCAAGCTCATGGAAAAGGAACAAATTTCTCAACCTATCCTTTAGTATTTAAAATTACTTTTGGCTGAGAATTCATGACGCAATGTTTTCCCGCATTACAATATACTTTTTGCGATTTTTTTCTTTCGGTTCAAAAGTATTTGTTTCAAGCTTGAAGTGAAACCTGATTAATTCAGTTGGTTCCTTTTTTTACGATTAAAGGTGATTCGTTTTATTGAGGAGAATGTAAAAAGAAAGAATGCTTCATTCTTTAGAGTTGAGGACATTAAAAAAAAGTTTTCAATTCTTACAGTAAAATCGTCGAACTGGAGGAAGAACTTCGCGTCGTTGGTAACAACCTGAAATCCCTTGAAGTATCCGAGGAGAAGGTAAGATTCTTCCTCATTGTTTCGCTCAAAATAAATTCCATGTCCCCATTACGAATTATACGCGAAGAGGTGAAACCTGATGAATTAATCCCAACAGTTTTGTTGAATATGGAATCATTTCAATGAAGAATGGTTTCAGAAGAACGTGTTTCTTGATATTTTCCTCCTACACTGGGAGAAAAACGACAAAGTTCTCAAACAAGTCTTACTTGTGCCGAGAAAATAGTTTTTTGAGAATTATCAAAAAAGGTTTTTTCGTGCCAAACATGCAGAGAGTGCGCCGGAATGAAACATTTTTGTCGCAAAAATAGATTTAGTAGTTTTAAAAAAATTGCATTCTCTGTACACGCAAGAAATGTCATTTCTAGCACTACTCTTTCGTTATTTGATACTCCCATACGTATTTTGCTCCCGAAAAATCTTTGTTTTATGCGAAACAAGGGATAGTAGGTTTTCGTTTCGGCTGTCTAATAATCACAGACAAGAAATGAACCCTAAAATGAAACAATAATAATGATATGATAGCAATCTTGTCTGATGTGAATTATCCGCTTCTTGAGCCGAATATTTCGTTGCTGTCTAACGCAGAACAATTATTTATGTTTGAGACTTTCAAATTCGAACCAAACAAATTCTTTTTTGGCAATTTCCAACTAGCGATTTTGTTGAACCAAACAAGACTTGTTTGACAACGTGTTTTTCTCTCAGTGTAGAATTGAGCAGTTATCTCGATGGAGAGGGATTCTATGAGAAACGATCTGCGACATATTCTTCTTAACTTATTAATTATCGAGACAATTCCACAATTAACGGAATGTGAGATGAATTTATCCATTCCTTTGCTGGTACCCGTTACCAAAATCATCGATTGAATACTATTAGCTTGATTAGATATGAGTAATGGCTGGTTAAATAAATATTTCGTACGATGACATAAAGCAACATTTGTGTACCAATAGGCCAACCAGCGTGAGGAGGAGTACAAGAACCAAATTAAGACCCTGACCACTCGTCTAAAGGAGGTACAAAATACACCGCGAGTGCCTTTTGATCGCGTGCTTTTCCAATCACTGCAACTCACCAATAACAAAACCAACGTGTTTGCGATTACTTAACCCTTGATTAGAGATAGTTGCAGAGACTTAGAATCATGCCCGTGGAGAGTCCCTAGGATTGAGTTATCAGACTTTCGTCTGAATTGCTGTGCTTTCTTGTTTCACTAACTCAAGTTTTTTTTTTGTTTGCCTTGCATTTCACTAAAACCAGTTGACACAGAGGGAGGAGAATTACGAAGGCCAGGTGAAGGACTTGAGCAGCTCACTAAAAGAGGTAATTATTAAATTATGCCATGAAAAAGTTCGTTTCACTCGCCTGCGGCGAGGGCTCCCGACCTTTTTGCCAGTTTCCTCTATTCAAGAATTCAAGAGTAGGTGAAACATTTTTGGTCAGCAATCTATTTCGTCAAGGATATACTAGATTTAGGAATATTCCAAGTTTATCTTAGCCTTAACAAATTAGGTTGTAATTTTTTTTTTCATTTTCGTTCTTTCTTTTAAAAAAATGAGTAATTTTTTAAGCTAAGATAAACTTGACATATTTTTAAATCGATTTTTAATTTTTTTTTTCAATTTGTTGATGAAAATTATATATTTGTTATATGAACAATGAAAAAAGACATGATAATTATTAATAATTACTATAAACCACTGGCCAATAAATGCTCATTGCTGTGTAAAAAATACGCCCTGATAAAAAATACTCGTTAAGTTCTCAAAGAATCCAGTGATATCATTTTCCCAACGCAATGGATCTAGACAACATCCCATCAATTTCCAATATCAATCAAGAAATCATTAATCAACACATTATCTACCATCCGAGGAGTCCATTTGATATGAACAACAAGTTCAGGTACGAAAATATCCACTGGACTGAGTCAGCGTTCCATAATAAGTTTTACTCCGCTAAAACTAACAAGTCAAACAAGCACTCAAAAATGCTCAACGAAATATTTACACGGATTATTCCATCGAGAGTGTGTGAATCCTAAAAACACAAGCATGAGGTTTTTTGTCTGGAATCCCAGTCTGCGAATCATTCGTCGATTTTAGAATGATCGGAATATAAATATTCTTTCATTCTGGATTACTCAATTGGAGTTTTGCATATTTTTTTACTTTGATAACTAATGAACGTAATTTTTTCATTTTACTCTTTTTTATTTCATCGTTTTATTGAATAAAAAAATTATCCAACATAAATAAATTGATTGATTAATCAATCAATTAATTCTTTTTATTTTCAATTTCTGAGATCAAAAAACGAGGATCTAATGTTTTTATTTTATTGGTTTATTCAATGAACAATTATGCAATAAATAAATAAATCAATTGATTAATCCCTCAATTGATTAATTTTTTTTCTAAATTTCTGAGATAAAAAAACCGATCGGATGTTTTTATTTCATTTTATCCAATAAAAAAAAAATTATGCACCAAATAAACTCTACAATTGACTTATCATTTTGAAATCGACGAATCATATCGATCAGTGTGATGTAAAAAATATAATCTGACTTGAATATCGTATATTCCAGGCTGAGGCTCGTGCTGAGTTCGCTGAGAGATCGGTTCAGAAGCTCCAGAAGGAGGTTGACAGGCTCGAGGGTGCGTATCTCTGACAGAATTCCTAATACCTTGAAATAGCGTATCGATTTTGGTCGTTCGGTCGACAGTAGACTCTCATTCGCATTCACATTCCAAATCGAAACCAAGGAACAATAATCGTTGTAACTCGGGTGTTTGAGGCCGACTTTTATGTGGAGACCTCGAGCCCGAGGACTGGTCAAACAGTGACTCATGCGTATTTATGTTCGTCGGTACCGTGAATCGGTTTACGATTCACCGTGTGCTGGGTTAAGTCACAAAATCAACAAAAATTATACGCAAAATTAATAACTAATGCTGGGGTTTGACAAAGCCCTAGTGCCTCACGAGTTTTGAGACTAATTTTGGTTGGATTTAGTTTATTGTGTTTGGTTTGTTTAATTGTATTTTTTTCGCTATTTTTTATTTTATTTTGATAGTATGGTCACACGAAGAGAATAATCATCTCTGAATTGTTTAAATTTTGAAAATTTTATTTCGCAAAATTTTATTGCAATTTTGAAGGAATTTGCGGAAACGTTTGGTAAATCTTGTAGGATTTCAAGCTGTTGCACTGGCATTTCGAAATTTCAGAAATATTAAAAGAAATGTATTTCGAAGAAATTTCATTTGCAAAATTTCACGGAATTCATCAGTTTTTTTGGCAAAAAATATCCAGCATTTTCTCAACAATTTCATGTCTCGAATTGAAAGAATTCCAAGAACTTTAGGATACTTTTGAAAATTTTTATAGAATTTCAATTTGATCAGCACAAAAATTTCCAGGTGCTATCGCCCCCTCGACGAAATTCTCTTTTTGATGAAGAAAATTAATTATTTTCAACAAATGCAGAATATTTATTCATTTGAACTTGACGAAAATAAAATAAAATTAACGCTTGTTATTTTATTCTATCACTGTTGAGGAGAGAATGGTGGCACGTATTCAAGTTTATTAATTCATTCGCCATATCGAAAAAATGGAAATAAATGTGTTTTGAATAGAATTTTTTTGAAACAAATCATTAAAATACGATTCAATACGTCATATTTAATAGCTCTGCTACACAAATCTCTTCTGATATATTAATTGTTCTCAACCTACTAAAGACATCGTGAAATGCCTCGAAGTCCATAAAGATGTCATAGAATTCCAAAAACTCTAAATTGAAAAAAAAACGAGTTTTTTCAAAATTCCTGACAATTCTTGATTTGTCTCAATTTTCAACGAATATCTCGAAATCCAAGAGAGATAGCAAAATTTTCCTCATGACCTTTTTTGTAGCCCTCAATGCGCTCTACAAAAAAGGTCATCACAAAAATTTCGCTATCTCCCTCACATTCAAAGATATTCCTCCAGAACTCAGTTGAACTCAGATTACCTCAACTTAAACCGTTTTACCACTTCTGAATTCACTTTTTAATTAAAAAAAATCGAAGTTGTGACCATACTATTCTCTCAGTTCTCTCCCTCCCTCCCCCCTCCCCCCCCAGTGTGTTTTTAACTCGTGATATTTGCAGACGAGCTCGTTGGCGAAAGGGAGAAAAACAAATTGCTACAGGAGGAAATGGAGGCGACCCTGCATGACATCCAGAACATGTAGATCCGGTGTTCAAATGTGGTGGCCTAACAAAAGACCCCCTCCCTCCCTCTCCCCCCCCAATTGCATTATCTTTATTTTTTTCTTTCGCGCGCTGAATAATGGTGCAACGCCTTAAACATTTTAAACGACCAGAGCGAGCAGTCTAAGGCCCCCAATCACCTCATTATCGAAAATAACATTTGAGACTCCACCGTCCACCGAGATGAATGGAATGAATGAGTGCGTGATATACGAGTGCCTGCGGATATTAATAATACGAGTCAATTTTGGTGTTGAAGACACGTTAAACCAATTGATGATGGGGCAATAGTTTTTTTTTAAGGAATAATTATCAAAGTGTCGTTGAATTGTTTTTCTGATAACATTCCGAGTTTCGTGACGGCTCAATGTCCAATCGTGGAGTCGAGAGTACAATTCGTTAATCGTATTTACGAAATATCGAGATGAGATTTATAACGACGAGACGTTTAATTGAGAATTTATTCAATTGCGAAGTGAATGGGGGTGAGGAGGGCAAAAGGAGCGATTTTTAATCGTATATTTCTCGGGATCGGCTGAGTGAAAATTGAGATTTTTTTTTCATTTTGAAGGATTTTTTTCAGGCTACAAAATGAGCGCTGACTTATCCGAATCGTATCGCTGAGTCAGGAGATATTGAGGATTTAACGAAGTTCTTTTTACCTTGCTCTCCCCTACGTCAATAATCTTCAACGAGTTTGTCGCGAATATCTCGAAATCTATGGGAGATAGAGAAAAAATTGTAGAGACCTTTTTTGCTGCCCCTTTCAAGCTTCACAAAAAAGGTCCGAATGACAATCCCGCTATCTCCCTTAGATCCCGAGATATTCAGCAAAACCCATTCTCGAGTTGAATTTATTTCGTCATTTCGCTTTAGAATTGAATTGTTCGACTTGTTGGCGAAAAATTGTGCGTATTTTTTTCCATTACCTTCTTTTTCATTGAATACTGCCGAAAATTGAATAGTTGATTGATATTTAATTGAGGAATCCTGTTCTGTGGTCTTTTTGATCGCTCTTTTAGTCCTCTCAATTCTCCAGTATTTATCCAATTTTTTTACGATGAATATACATTCCAAATTGTTCTGCATGAATATTTATCAGAGCTCGAAGAATCAGTTAAATCAAATGGTTCATGCTTTTTCTACTGATTTTTTTTTTATTAATTGATACCAAATCGAGGACTTGTGTGAAGGACCACGAGAAACGAAATGATTATTCCATCGCGAAACGAGATTCGATAGAACGCGAGAGGAATTTTATCGCTCGATCAAGTTTTATTTTACTCGATATTGATTTTCCACTCGTCAATGACCAATTACGGAGCATCAGATGACCAAGAAGTTTAAATAATGGGAGAATTGTAAATTCTGGAAAATTAATGGGAGTAAAACAAACCGATTAAATCACTTGAGTTTATTAATGATAGTTTATTAATTTACTTAATATTAATGAAGAAAACGAATGAATTGAAACACAATCAACTAATATCATTGTAATATTAATTATTATATATTGCTATTATTATAAATCTGTTTATAATATATATTTTCATTTTGAATTTGTGTGTGTGTCTTTTATTTTGTTTTTAGTTGATATTTAATTACGTATTGAACTAACAGTAATGATAAGTGGTGTGATGATTAATTCGCTAGATGTGTAATCATGCATGGAAGAGGAGAAAATATTTGGAGATGGTACGTATGACAGGAATGGTGAGTAAAATTTAAGTAACAAAAAATTCGAAAGAATCATTTCTTTATAATTCATATTTTTTCATCAGTAAAGAGAAATAATCATCGTGAAGAAATGGAGAATAATTATTATGATTTTAATTGTTTACAAAGGGGCATATAGACAATTATATATTTTGGAATTGAGGACAAGTTTATCAATTATGGAACCTAAATTCTAATTTGAGATGCCTCAGGGAAAAAAAGAATTTTCAGCCAAAAGGGGATGAAAAAATCTTGAATAATTTGTTCTTTCTGTAGGAACTGGGATAAAAGAGTTGAATGTGATCTGAGGATGGTAAATAATTTTAAGAGCTGTTCAAAAATGCGAGGTGGGTGACAGGTGTGGGTACCACCATATTGAATACCCCTTCCATCTGTCGGAAGGGGCTTTAAAGATGGCGGCGCCACCACCTCGTATTTTTAAACAATTCTTAAAATTATTTATCCTCCTCAGATCACCCTTAACTCACTCAACCCAATTTCTATAAAAGGAACAAATTTTTTAAGCCATCTTTCATACTTTTTCATCCCCTTTCAGCTGAGAATTTGTTCCGCAAAGTTTTTCCCGCGCTTCATTACATTTTTCTCGCTCTAGAGACCTCTTAACAATCACCAAAAGTTAAAATAAAAGCTTAAAAAAAAATTAAACTTCCTTTTTAAAGCGAAATGAACAAACCAAAATTTACTTAAAATCGCTCTCTATTTTTCACTTCATCTCGAAAATATTCTCAATACAACTTGAAGTATCGATACACCGAGAATGACAAAATCCAAACAATCCAGCCTTCACATCCCATTAACACTCGAAGGTCACTGGAACAAATAAAATGGAACGGACACTATCGCGATTCATGCCAGCCTCACGTCGAGTTTAAATTGTAATTCGTAACATGTGGCGTCGAGTGGATGACGTGAATGGAGAACCAATACGTTCTGTCACACCCGTTTACCCTGGGAACACTTGAAAACCTTAAAACCTTATTCCGGAGATTAAACTGTAAATGGATGAACGGTTGGAGTTTTTACCGATGCTTTGCACGATGTCGAACTGTTTTTTTGAGAACATGCTTCTTAATTCGAGGTTTGACAATTGCTTGCAGATGATATGGTCGCAGAGAAGGAGAAGTACAAGGAAATTGGGGATGGACTCGACAATGCATTCGAGGAGCTTTACGGAGTTTAATGCGCTTGCCATGATCTTTGAATTTTTACTGCCTTTAATTATTACATTGCGCTTATTATAACGATTTACGTAAGTTCGGACAATACTGGGGCTTCTAACATTTTAATGCTGGGGGGAAAACAAAACATTATTTTTTTTTAATGTCTTCACAATTTTCCGAGTGAATCATTATTTATGATTAAATATTCTTTGAAATCATAATATCAAATTTATGGGTTTTAACGAGTGCAGGATATTCATTGATTTTTAACTTGAAAATGAAATAAAATGAGTCAGTGATATTTTATTGTATCGCAATGAAGAAGAGAACAGTAGGGCTAGTTAATTTTACTATTTTATTCGTTATATTGAAAAAATTGGCAACGAATGTGTTTTAAGTAGGATTTTTTTTAAATAAAATGTTGAAAAGATGTTTCATTTATTACATTTAGCGATTTTGAAATATCAGATTGTTGAAATAATATTTTATTTTTATATTTTCTGGCCTTTCAGTATGAGAATTAATTTTTGGATGCTATATTCATTAAATTCCAGAAGATACTTTCATACAATATTTCTACAATTCAATGAATGAATAATTAATTATTCACGACAAAATACCATCAGATATGAAAATATCGAATTTATAATTTTTAACAACTGCATAATATTCATTGATTTTTACTTGACGGAAATGAAATAAAATCAATATTTGATATTTTATTGCACCATAATGAAAAATAAAATAGGGCCTATTTAATTTTATTATTCCAATCGCTAAATTGAAAAAATTGGAAATGACAGTGTTTTAAATACGATTTTTTGAAACAAAATAATGAAATTTCATTCCATTCATCACATTTAGCCACTTTGAAGCATCAAATAGTCGTAAATATGTCAGTTTTTAATATCTGTGATGAAAAATATCATTTTATTCGTTGTATTTAGTGGCTTTGGCATATCGAATACTTCTAAATTCCTGAATTGGCAGTTCACGTGATATTTTATCCACTTCTGGACACGCCAATTAATTCCATAATTCATCCAAGCATGTGTTAGGATGTGTTATATTCATTTGCTCTGACCAATTTCAGACGAACTTGTCCACGAGAAGGAGAAATACAAATACATCTGCGACGACCTGGACCTCACCTTCACCGAGCTCGTCGGTTAAATGCTCTAGGATTAATCCCTGTATCATCTCGACACAACACCTCATACTGGTCGCTTGATTATTTACTTGTATTATTGTAATTAAATTAATATATTGTAATTGTCCCAGGTGTATTCTTTCGTATTGACCCGTCCCATCTAATTTTATGGAATAAACGTGAAAAACATTCTTGTATTTGAGAAAATTCTTCAAAAAATAAAAATCATTTTACATTTTATTCTCGTAAATGAATAATAAAAATTGTTTAAACTTCGATAAACCCCATTTTTTCAGTTATTTATGAACAAATGTCTTGATTTGCGATAATAACAATTTAATAAATCTTTGGTTCTTGATATTTTCTTCTGACAACGCTTATGACCGAAATAAATCCATCATTTCCAGAAGAAAAAAACATTAAAAACCGCTTTAATTCACGAAATTCACAGCGAAAAAAAAAATTCACACTTGATTTTCGTGAATAAACATTAGAAATTATTAAAAATTTTCCTTTTTTGTAATAAAAGAGACTTTTGGGAAGGTTCTGAATAGAAATTAATACATTACAAAATAAAAACATTGATTTTCTGTCAATTATTTATAAAAAAGATCTTGATTTCTAAAAATAGTAACTTTTCAATTATTTTATCAACTTTTTTTTTTATTCTTCTTCAATAATTTTAAACGAACAAATGAGAATTGAATGCCATTCTATGAGACATGAATAAACGAATCATAATTGTCCAAATTATTTAGGTCAGGGGAAACGAATAATTCTTTCTTAATATCGCGTTTATTAAGGTTTTCTTCGAACAAAGTTGATTAGAATTACTAGCTAGAATTATGAGATTATCTCACATTTTTTACTAAAGTCTGTTCTAGAAGGAATTGAACTGTAATTACGATTAAAATCTTATTCAGTGAACATAAGAATCAGAACATTCTCAAATCACTTATTGTAATATGAAAATTTAACAGCTGATAAATTGGGACATGCGATTCTCATCGATCGTATTGCTTTTCGCAACGAGAATGATTATAACCAATTAATTGAAAAAAGGAAAATTGAATCCGACAGGAAAATGCGCATAATGAAAAAAATTCTGGTACCCTAGGGTCAACAGATCGCCAAAAACGATTGCAATAAATAATAATAAACGACCGATTTCCTGTGGGCGCGGCCCGTGTTGCCCCCTATCACCCCCCTAACATTTAAAACCCCACTAACAGTGTTCGCCTCACTAATAAGCACGTATCCCTCTCGTTTATCGTTGCAGACGAGCTGGCGAACGAGCGCAGTAAGTACAAAGCTATAGCCGACGAGATGGACCAGACATTCGCCGACCTAGCGGGATACTAACGAGGATTTCATCGGGCGTGAAATAACCAGAACCACGCTCACAAACGACACTGCCACCAGAAGAGAATAACAGCGTCACGAAGAGAATTCTGATGGATTCAAAAATTCCCTCATCCTTCCACTCGCTAGACTCAACAATTCATTATGCCACTATTAAAGATGCGAAAGGTCGTGAAAATTTGTAACTCAGAATTTTGGACGAAATGTACAGAATCTTCAGGTGCAATTCTCTCTCCATTCCGTAATTTAATGTAATATATTTGTTACTCGTTCATTTTTCCGTCGCTTTTATATTGAATAGCATAACGGTACGTTACTTTGAGCGTTTTCAAAGCTCGATTAGCTTTTGCAATACCCGAGACACTTTTCAAAGTACAAAATGCCTCGTAGGATTTTCTAAATGCATTGATATGGAATTTGCTTTGGAATCTATTGCTGCGTTGATGTGTCATATCTCCGAGATGGCGGAGCATTGAGGAGGAAATATGAAAGGTGGAGATACGTCCAGGGAATGCCGACTGATTTATCAGTGCGAATGCTTTCGTTTCTGTGAATGTTCTTGTTCTATTCGACATTGCGATTTAGCCCGTTTCTATTGTTTTCGTGAACTCGAGGCGACATGAAACATCAGTTGTCGTGTGTAATGGTGACAACTCGTTATAGTCCGAGTGCCTATCCTCGATGATGATGATGATGATGACAAAATTGGGATTAATGTGAGGGGAGTCCGTTATGTGGGCTTTAATCATTCATTTTATGATAAATGAAACAATTTTTTAAGGATAATGTTAAGCGTGAAGGGGAATAAAGAAAATTATGGAAATAAATTGGAAAATGGGGTTTTATTTGAATCCTAAATATAATTTTTAACGAAAAAAAAATTATGTCATATTTTTCTATTTTTTACGAATTTCAGATAAAATTGTCTCATTTTTATAATAATAAATGGAACAGAGATCACAAAGTCAATGTTAACATTCGGAATATCATGAATACGAATCGAAAAAACCACTGATAGAATTTTTTTCTAGACATTGTTTTTTCAAAACTAGTGAGTGAGAAGTAGAGCGGACTCAGTTCCTTCTTTTTATTCTATTTATTCCTATTCTTAAGCTGTTTGCTGTGAAATTTAAAAACTTGGATCACCCACGTATTCAAAAAGTTGGCACGCACGTCCACGGTCAACAGAAGAGCGATCGCTGATGATGAAGATGTGGATGGATACGATGGAAATAATTCACTTCAACAGATCTAAAGGCAATTACCCCAGAACTTTGGCATTGAGGATATCCAAGTGCTTCATTCAAGTTAACAACTCTTTTTCAGACAAGAGTTCATTTGTTCCGAAAATCTTGCCATTTCCATACTTTTTTGGATTTTTCACAAATATGATTGCAGCCCTCGCCTTCGGCTCGTGCTGCAAACCTCATATTCGTCAGAGAAGTTTTTTTCTGTACTGCTTCTCACGATTTCTCGTCTGGGAATTGGTATTACATACTTCCCAAACTCGAAAACTTGAAAATCACTACAGAAAAATATTGTTCCTGGGCTGTTGCGATGGGGTTTTTTTACTCGTGTGGTTGGCCAGTCCTCGCCTACGGCTCGGAGGCCAACGCCACACGAGTAAAAAACCCCATCGCAACAGGCCGGAAAAATACTATTTTGTCATCCGGCCGTAAGGCAGCGTTTCACGGACAGCATTTCGTCATTAGGCCGAAATATGAATTTTTCAGTACGGGATACCACTTTTTCAGTGTCTCCCTCTACTTTCTTGTGCCCCCTTCGACACGTCCCATGCGTTGGTGAGAAGGTACGCTAATTTTCGAGAGATTTTTCTGTCCGAGTAGTCATTTGAGCGGACCGCTGCCAGACGTCAAGAACGCGCGAATTCAAACCGCCCAATATAGCTGTCGTACCAACCGCGAAGCTTTTAATTTGATTGCTTGCAATTATCTCTCCGGAAACTTGAGTTTTTTAATGTCGCAAAAAAAACTAGAGAGTATAACGAACAAAATCAAATACGGTTATGCGTACGAGAAAACGCTTTAAGACTATGAACTATTGGATTGAAGGTCGGAGTCTACAGCCCTTATGGACGCAATCTGTTGAATTTCATTTTTTCAAAAATCCTTATCTCGAAAAAATTCTCGGAGATTAAACTTGATATACTCTTGGTCTATTCTATGAACTCTGAGGAGGATTTCCCTCAGACAAAATTGCCTGAACTACTTGGATGTCCTTAAACTCATCTTTCGTCCAAAGCAAGACGGGCGAGGGGGGGGGGGGGAACTGTCCACCAGACTCGAACGAACCTGATATTTTTCTTCAGCGTATTCGAACGGCATTCGACTCATTATTAATAGATCCTCTCGTATCGTAACAAAATCCTATTCTTGGGAGACACATTTCCCTGGTAAAAATTGTCATCGTGACCTAGAAATCTCCGGTATACACCCTGTTATTGGGGTAAACTCTGCGCCGCATTTGTTCGTCAAATATTGCACGATAGAATCTCCAGAAATTGGAGAAAGTTTACATCTCCGGTTGATCTCGTAAACTAAATTTAGAAGAGTTAAATTCACCGGATGAATCACTGGCTTGCAGTTCTGTGTCTAATGCAAGAGATATTACAAAAATTCCGGGAAGAATAGTCACAGTCCCGCGCTGATAAGGTCAACGGAACAGGGGAAACTATTTTAAATGATAAAATGAGATCGTTTTGTCGATTACTTCGGGATGAATTAGCGAAATTAATTGACTGAACGATTCCCTGATTACGCATATTAATTTCTGTCGAAAAATCATACGTCGGTATTTTTCCTCGTACTTTCCTTAAAACAAACAAAATTGTCTAGTTAACTAGTTCATGACTTTATTCATTCCCCGTTCAATGAATTCAGAAAATTTTTTTAGTTATCGTGGGACAACCGATTTTTGGAAAAATTCAAAAATTAAAAAAATCATTAATTGAACTGAATTTTAATTAATGTCGATGGATACGGCTCAACAATACCTACATGTGAGAAAAATAAATGATTAAATTCCGTCGATCCATTATCTGTCGATCATTATCGATCATAACTGCTCGATACAACCCAAAAAATCCGAATTTAAATTCGAACCATTACAAAGCGGAATAAAAAAACAGAGCTCTCTCATTAATTCCTCCCCAAGCCCATTCACTCCTTAATCCCCAAAAATCTCTAAAAAAAATCAATGTCTCCCCCACAAAATCCCAAATCCCAAGAATGTTCCCAACAACAATTCTCCCGCTCATCCCCTTCGCGCCTCCCGAATGCCCGCCAGATCTGACGCGCACACCCCGTCGCGATCTACTGCGCACACTGGCGTAGCCCCCGAAAGACCGCCGCCAAACCCCATCCCAAACACCTCCCCGCCCCCTCCTAATTACCGAAAATGTGGATTAAAATCTCGAAAAGACGTGCGCACAGCCATTGGTTTTACCCCAAGCTCGCCATTTTTGGCCGCCCCACCAGCGAGCTTTTCCCCGAGCTTTGCACGTAACTCGGGCCTTCCGTCCGACACTCGTCGCGCGTCGCTCTACTCGCGAGGGTAGGTAAGTTCCGTTCAAATCGGTAGAAAGTCTCCCTGAAGAAGACTCAAAAGAAACATCTGTGATCACCATCTAACGCTATTTTGACAGCACTGACATCCGGATCTGGCGCATCGCAATAATTTTTCCGTTAAAGAGTTGGGAAAAAATTGTTTCTGGTGTACGTGAGTGTGACAAGAAGAGGAGAAAAATCATGTGGATTTCCCAACTCTTGGCATTGTTAATAGTGCATTACCGCTTATGCTTTTGGGCTTTTAACCGCTTCGCAATGTCGTAAGTAGAGTAATGCCTGACATTTATTTTTCTAACATTTTCTCTTCTTAATCGAAAAAAGAATTTAAAAACCTAAACATTAAATTTATTCTACTGTTTTTAACGCAAGATAAAGTGCCCCAAGATGTTTAAATGCCCGAATTAGCATCGTAAATAGACATGAAGACAAAGTCCTTGGCAAAACTCCCAGAGTTATACGAGAGCTCGTAATGCACAATGAGGTAACTGATAATCAGGGAAAATCAGGGAAATATGTAGTCAGTGGCAGGGGGGATTGACGCGAGGGATGGAATTAAAAACGTAGGCCGGAGGTTGGAATGTTTCGCAAATGTTAATTTCTATAAATAATTTTGTGAAGGCACTTAGATCGGATGTCGGCGGTCGTTGGCGGCCAAGTAAAGCTCGTTCTTCTGGGTTACGGTGGCTCCTCGCATACTTCATCTCCAGCCTAGGAAACGGCCCACTGTCGGTTATTTTTGGGTATTCGGTGGTAGATGCTATTTGCGGAGACGAGTTCTTGGGTTATGGGGGGGACGAAAATTGTGGGATGATGTATCAATTATTGGGGATTGATATTTGTTCCGAAGAGTTTTTTTTGGCTTCGGAAACTTCATGATGGTGATGATGCACTCGAACAGGTTCAGCATGCATTAATGATTTTATGAATTAATCTTAGAGCTTTATGTGACATTTATGCGCTGAAAATACCACGAAAGGGAGAAATATAATTGAAATTATTGGATACAGATTTTTTCACTTTTTTCAATGGCGAGAAATTGATTATTTGAAGTCAATGCAAGCAATCACGCACGAAAAAATTTAATAGAAAAACCTATCGAATTCATTAGAAAATTCTATTGAATTTCTGTCAAACTTTCTGTTAGTTTTTTTCTGATTCTGTTGACATGTTCAATAGAAAATATTCAGTAGAAAAAGTCAACAGAATTCGATTTTTCTATGTAACTTACTCTTTTCATATATTTTCTACAGAATTTGCTCGACTCGAGTTTTCTAATTTTTTTTCATTCTATTTTTCTTTTCTTCTCATCAAGAAAATCAAACGAAAAAACTTGAGAAATTTGAGCCGAGGAAATTCTATAGAAAATATCGCAATAGAATAAGTTATATAGAAAAATTGAATTCTATTGACTTTTTCTACTGAATATTTTCTATTGAACATTTCAATAGAGTCGGCCAAAAACTAATAGAACAGTTCAATGGAAATTCAATAGAATTTTCTAACGAATTCGACAGGTTTTTCTATTAAATTTTTTTCGCCCGTGATTATTCGAATTGATTTCTAATTAATTCTGTTTTTCTTCTATTGTAGTTGAATTCAGTTTATTAATTTGGTGGGTTTCAAAGAAATTTACACGCCTTCTTCGCGAATTGGAAGACAATTCAATCAATTATGAAAAATTAATCTCTAATTGATTGTTTTTTTTTTAATGATATTTGAATTTAATTTGGTGCCTTCGAGATTTTGGAAACGATGACGCACTTCAAAGAGTTCAGCATGCAGTAATAACTTTAATGATTAATTTAAGAGCTTTTTATTAAATTTATGCTTCAAAAATATCATGAGAGGTGAAAATATCTGCAAAATTATTGGGCACATATTTTTTTTCTTTTTTTTTATGCTGAGAAATCGACTATTTGAAGACAATTCAATCAATTATTCAAATCGATTTCCAATTAATTCTGTTTTTTCATTAATTATAGGTGCATTGAATTAATGGATTAATTAATTAATTAATTCAATGCACCTTAATTAATTAATTAATTTAGCATACATTACCAAATTTTAAAAATTAATCTCAAAGCTTCATCTGAACTTTATTAATTAAAAAACCTCATGAAATATGAAAATATAATAAAAATTATAAGTTGAGTATAAAAAAAAATTTTTTAACCATGAGAAATCAACATTTTAAAGACAATTGTCATTAATTAATTTAGCGTTTTAAGATGTGATTTCTATGAAATTAATTTAATTCAATGACTATTTTTATTTCATCAGACGAAACATTTTCATTCCCAAGTTTGTCATTTTCAGTTGATAAAGATGATTCATTACCGATTAATTCCCCCAGCAAATTTATTAGTTTCGTGGAGAAAGGAGAGACAAAAAAGCCGCCACCATGGACGCGATCAAGAAGAAGATGCAAGCGATGAAGCTTGAGAAGGACAATGCCATGGACAAAGCCGATGTCTGCGAGGGACAGGCTAAGGAGGCCAACATGCGCGCGGACAAGGTTCTGGAGGAGGTAGCCGATCTCCAGAAGAAGCTCAGCCAAGTTGAGAACGACCTCACGACGAACAAGGGGGCCCTCGAGCAGGCCAACAAGGACCTCGAGGAGCGCGAGAAGTCCCTCACCAATGTGAGAATACATCCCTAGCATCTAATCCCTAGGATGTAATTCGTGGAGAGTTGGGTAATTCGTTGGGTAATTTCGATGGTTTCCAGGCGGAGTCCGAGGTGGCCGCTTTGAACAGGAAAGTCCAGCTGATCGAGGAGGACCTTGAGCGCTCGGAAGAGCGCTTGAACACCGCCACCGCCAAGTTGACGGAGGCCTCGCAGGCCGCTGACGAGTCCAGCCGGTGTGTTTTTCCTGAAAATTTTTTTTTTTGCGATTTCTATTGAAAATTTCGCAGTTTTTCCGCCCTTTTTATCAGAAAAAAAGCTCGCTCCGCTCGCCAACCCCTATATGACCTCCATATGATCCCTATATGACCCTTGTGACCCTCAATCGAACCCTCGTGATCCTCATTTTACCCTCATTATACCCCTCGTGACCCTTATTTTGACCCTTCATTTTGGAGTTTTAATTTTGAGTACCAAATTGTCATCACCAGAAATCAATTTGGATTTTTATATTATAGGGGAATAGAGGCCCTTATTTTGACCTCTGCGACCCTTAATGTAGAACCCCCATGATCCTTATTTGGACCCTTAATCTGACCTTCGTGATCCTTAATTTGACCCTTGTGACCCTTATTTGGATCCTTAACCTGACCCTCATTACAACCCTCGTGACCTCGCTTTTGATCCTGGTGACCCTTGAGACCCTCAATCTGACCCTTGGTTTTTGACGCCCGTGATCCTTATTTGGACCCTTACTCTGAACCTTGTGGCCCTTACAAATCCTTGTGGCCCTTATTTAGCCCCTTAAGCCCTTGTGAGTTTTATTTGGCCCCTATTCTAACTCTTGTGATTATTATTCTGACCCTCATTAACCTTAATCTGACCTCGTGACCCTTATTTTGAACTTCATGAACCTTATTCCGACCCCGTGACCTTTATTCCGGCCCTCTGGACCCTTATGTTGACCCCCGTGACCTTTATTAAGATACTATGACCCTTATTTTGACCCTCGTGAATCTTATTCTCACCCCGTGACCTTTATTCTGCCCCTCACAACCCTTATGTTGACCCTCGTGACCCTTATTACGACCCGCATGACCCTTATTTGGACCGTTACTTCGAACCTTGTGACCCTTAATCAAATCCTTGTGACCCTTATTTAGCTCCTTAATGCCTCATGACCCTTATTTTGACACCCGTGAACCTTATTCTCACCCCGTGACCTTTATTCTGCCCCTCACAACCCTTATGTTCGCCCTCGTGACCCTCATTTTGACCCCTATGACCCTTAATATAAGCCTCATGACCCTTATTTTGACCTTTATGTTTCACTGAATCAATCCATTGACCTTTCAATGTCCAGTATGTGCAAAGTACTGGAGAACCGTGCCCAGCAGGACGAAGAGCGAATGGACCAGCTGACGAATCAACTCAAGGAGGCACGTCTCCTCGCTGAAGATGCTGATGGCAAATCTGACGAAGTTTCACGTAAACTCGCCTTCGTTGAGGACGAGCTCGAGGTCGCTGAGGATCGCGTCAAGTCCGGAGAGGCGTAAGTACCCCATCATCCCTCATGACTACAAATCCATTAATTATCGTCACAAAGTCCCCAGAACGTCTCTCAAAATTAATTGACAAACCCTTGTCTTAAGGTAACTAAATTAATTATTTTAGGACAAGAAAGATTAGAAATCACATGTTGAAATTTCTATTTTAAAAAACCTGGTGAAAAATCCTGACAAAATTACATCGAAAGCTCTTTCTAAGATCAATTAATCAATTTATTTCTGAAATACTTCGTAAATCTAGCAAAATCATGGAGTTGGAAGAGGAACTCAAAGTCGTCGGCAACAGCTTGAAATCCCTGGAGGTCTCAGAAGAAAAGGTAAACAAATTTTCTCCCCTCCGGCCCCACCAAATGTAAACAATTGGTTTGAAATTCAGGCCAACCAAAGAGTCGAGGAATTCAAACGCCAGCTGAAGACCCTGACCGTCAAGCTGAAGGAGGCCGAGGCGCGCGCTGAATTCGCGGAGAAGACAGTCAAGAAGCTCCAGAAGGAGGTCGACAGGCTCGAAGGTCAGGCGTCAATCGCATTTACTATTAGTGAAAGAATAATTATCTCAGTTACTATTACTGAAAGAATTATCTAATAACACACTCACAATCCATTGACTCGTCACGTGAGAAATAGAAAGTAGATGAGGTACTGGTGATGACAGACATCTGGGGGCTTTTAAGGATGGAGGAAAATTATCGTTTCTCATTGCAGACGACTTGTCCCATCAGAAGGAGAAACACAAAGCTATTTGCGATGACTTGGATTCGACATTTGCTGAGCTTAGCGGATACTAAATATTCAGTTTCGTTACATTATCACGGAAATACGTGACAACATTTTTTAGAGAAATCTAGGGGTCGCTAGGAAACTCTATTTGAGTTCTGTTAGAATTCCATTGAAAAACTCTATTTCTTAAGATTTTTTTTTTCATAAAAAAGTCTATAAATGTTGATTTTTTATGCAACGGTTTTTTAGATCTCTTGAAAAAAAGTGTCCAAGTTTTTTCTTGGGTTTTAGTATTAGGAAATTATAAAAATACAGCAGGAAAAGATGAAAATTATGCTCAAGAACTCAATTCTATTGCGATACTTCCTATAACATTTTTTTGATTTTTTTAAAGAAAAAAACAGAACGATGGAATGGAAAAAAAATTTAAAATTTGACCCGGGGAAATTGTATAGAAAATATCTGAATAGAATTGGCGCAAAAAACGGATGGAATTTTTCAATGGAATTCCAATAGAATTCTTATAGACTTCCAATAGAATAGAAATTGAATATAAATTCTTAGAGAAAGCGCTAGGTTTTTCTATAAAATTTTTTCATACGTGAATGACACATCACACAATACATTTAACACGCTTCTCATATCTGAAATATCTCGGAATAATTTCTCCTCAAAATTTGCAAGACACGTGACAATTAAACGAGAGAGTAATAAGAGCAATGACTTAGCTTCACAGCGTCGAACGTCGGATTCCAGGTACTTTTGGTAGTCCCCAGACAATGAGTAGTGCAAAATCACGCGGCATTTCAAATCGCCTGTTAGTCACCTTTAGGATGTTTTCAAGGATTGAGAGAGAGAACCTATTGGCTGTTGCAAATAGTGCAAAGATCGAAAGAATATTTCTCACATGTTGTTTAATAAATCTAACATTATTTTTTCGGGGGACTTGAGGGGGAATCGCTCGTGAACTTCGTGAAATCTCCTGAAATTTTATTTTGCATTTGTCGAAATGTTCAGAGGGCGACAGAAGGGCTCGAAAACTAATGACGAATTTTTTTAATTCCCAGGAATGCTCCGTAATCTTGAAATTTCATTGCAATAGCTTGAAGTTTTATGAAATTTCTTAGAAAACTTTGCAATTCTATGAAGTCACTACGAATTCTGAACAATTTTACGGTCTTTCAATTTTTTTTTTAATTTAAAAATATTCGGACTTTTATAATTTTGAAGTAAGAGCACAGGTGGAATTGTCATGAAATGTGAATTTGAAATGAAATGTCAAATTGTCAAAGTCAATCAAAAGGTCAGAGAGCGACAAAAGGACTAGAAAGTTAATGATGAGAATTTGGAATTCTCAGAAATGCTCCGTAATCTTGAAATTTCATTGCAATAGCTTGAAGTTTTATGAAATTTCTTAGAAAACTTTGCAATTCTATGAAGTCACTACGAATTCTGAACAATTTTACGGTCTTTCAATTTTTTTTTTAATTTGAAAATATTCGGACTTATAATTTTGAAATCAGAGAATAGGTGGAATTGTCATGAAATTTGAAATGAAATGTCAAATTGTCAAAGTCAAACAAAAGGTCAGAGAGCGACAAAAGGACTAGAAAGTTAATGATGAGAATTTGGAATTCTCAGAAATGCTCCGTAATCTTGAAATTTCATTGCAATAGCTTGAAGTTTTATGAAATTTCTTAGAAAACTTTGCAATTCTATGAAGTCACTACGAATTCTGAACAATTTTACGGTCTTTCAATTTTTTTTTTAATTTAAAAATATTCGGACTTTTATAATTTTGAAGTAAGAGCACAGGTGGAATTGTCATGAAATGTGAATTTGAAATGAAATGTCAAATTGTCAAAGTCAATCAAAAGGTCAGAGAGCGACAAAAGGACTAGAAAGTTGATGATGAGAAGTTGAAATTCTCAGAAATGCTCCGTAATCTTGAAATTTCATTGCAATAGCTTGAAGTTTTATGAAATTTCTTAGAAGGCTTTGCAATTCTATGAAATCAGCATAAATTCTGAACAAAATTTTTTTTAATTTAAAAGAATCGTAAAATTTCCGGAATTTCATAATTTTGTAATAATAGAACAGGAGGAATTGTCATGAACTGCGAATTTCAGATGAAATGCCATGAAATGTCTAATTTTCAGTCAATTAAAATGTTTAAAGTGCGACTAAAGGGCCAAAATTTAATGAATATATCAATGAAAAGTTACAGAATGTCCAGAAATGCTTGGTAATCTTGAAATTCCATAGCAATAGCTTGAAGTTTGATGAAATTTCTCATAAGTAATTAAAATTCCATGAAATCATCATGAATTCTGAAAAATACAGTCTTTGGAAACTTGAAAAAAAATCTTAAAATATGCAGAATTGCAATAAAGAAAAAGTAGAATTGTCATGAACTGCGAATCTCAGATGAAATGTTATGAAATTTCAAAATATTCCAAATTTCTTAATTTTGAAATAACAGAACAGGTAAAATTGACGCCGTGAACTGCTAAATAAAATTTCAGCTAATCAAAGCCCTGAAACGTCACCAAATTGCCCGAGATTTCGCAAAATCCTTGGAAGTAGCAAGAAAAATCTGAGTGATTCTCCCTCGGGTGGTCCTGTTTTCAGACAGTAGACATTTGACTGAGTTATGAACTATCGCAGTGGTGCTGTGGCAAATCAAGATGCGTCAATTGCTCCCAACACTCATGAACTTCTTCCCGAGGTCGTCAAAATCGAAACAATTTTTTAAACCGAAAATCGCCGCCCCAAAAACCTGTCCTAAACTGAATTGGCGCATCGAGTTTCGCCGCTTCACTCCTGTCTAGCGACCAAAGCCCACGAATTAATCCATCTTATATTCGCAAAAAAATTTACAGACGAGCTTGGCATCAACAAGGACAGATACAAGTCCCTCGCCGACGAGATGGACTCGACCTTCGCTGAGTTGGCCGGATACTAATGAAATCCCCGCGACAATTGTCATCTTTTTCGCACCAAAAGAGAAGAACGAAAAATCCGAGAGACACAAAAAGGTGTTCCAATCGTACCTCCAATTACCACCGAAACTTGTAAGCCTGTCTCGATGATTTCGCCCCCGTCAAGTGTCATTCATCACCGCAATGCAGGATGTAGCACTTGGCAGGAACAACACTTGAGTGGGCGTGAATTTTTCAATTTAAGCCAAATACATCTACAAACTAAATTCGTCATTAATTTATTGAAGAATTATTTCTCCTGTATCTAGTCCTCATGCGATCGATTAATTACCAAGTCCCACACTGTGCACGTCATACAGAATATATATTTTATGATAATAATGTCTTATTATTAAAATTGTACGAGAATGTTATATGGAGTTTAATAAAGATCGATGTAAGTGTTTTAATCTGCTGAGCTATTGATTTATGACTTTTGTGTTCTGATGAATTCTAATGTCTCTATCTCTCGAATATTATCATATGCCTATGGGGTCTTATAGGGATCAAATTCTATGGGGACTTCATGCTTAATGCATACAATTAAATAAAAATAACGATTGTTGCTATCGCCCTCATCTTCGAACTCGATCAAAAGGGCATCCAAACAAATTTTTTAAGCCATCGTTCAATCAATTCAGAACATTTTTTTAGTTATCATGGGACAACCGATTTTCGAAAAAAATCGAAAATTAAAAAAACTTCGACTTTAATTAATCCAAATATAAAATTTCTGATCCTATCGTAAAATCAAGAAAAGCAATCCCTCTCGAAATATCTCGCGCGGCCGATCTCGTATGAATAAAAATAATCTGTGACTCAATATTCCAAATGAACTTTTAATTTTTAATTTCGTACTGAAAAAACGAGATGACAATATTCTAAGCACGGAATTATATTCATGAAATGAACAGATTAATTGAATTACCGTGTGAACTAACTAAAAATTAATAACAGTGTGCCACACACTTTTTCCAGAGTATCAACAACCATTGAATTCCAGAAATTCACACTCTAAAGTCTGTTCTAGAAGGAATTGAATTGTAATTATGATTAAAATCTTATTCAGTGAGNTCATGGGACAACCGATTTTCGAAAAAAATCGAAAATTAAAAAAACTTCGACTTTAATTAATCCAAATATAAAATTTCTGATCCTATCGTAAAATCAAGAAAAGCAATCCCTCTCGAAATATCTCGCGCGGCCGATCTCGTATGAATAAAAATAATCTGTGACTCAATATTCCAAATGAACTTTTAATTTTTAATTTCGTACTGAAAAAACGAGATGACAATATTCTAAGCACGGAATTATATTCATGAAATGAACAGATTAATTGAATTACCGTGTGAACTAACCATTGAATTCCAGAAATTCACACTCTAAAGTCTGTTCTAGAAGGAATTGAATTGTAATTATGATTAAAATCTTATTCAGTGAGCATAGGAATTAGAACATTCGCAAATCATTTATTGTTGTAATATGAAAATTAAAAAAACTAATCGACTTTAATTAATCCAAATACAAAATTTCTGATCCTATCGTAAAAACAAGAAAAGCAATCCCTCTCGAAATATCTCGCGCGGCCGATTTCGTATGAATAAAAATAAGCTGTGACTCAATATTCCAAATGAAATTTTAATTTTTAATTTCGTACTGAAAAAACGAGATGACAATATTCTAAGCACGGAATTATATTCATGAAATGAACAGATTAATTGAATTACCGTGTGAACTAACCATTGAATTCCAGAAATTCACACTCTAAAGTCTGTTCTAGAAGGAATTGAATTGTAATTATGATTAAAATCTTATTCAGTGAGCATAGGAATTAGAACATTCGCAAATCATTTATTGTTGTAATATGAAAATTTAACAGCTGATAAATTGAGGCATATGATTCTCATCGATCGTATTGCTTTTTGCAATGAGAATGATTATAAACAATTAATTGATAATTGAAGAAGAGAATTAGAATTGGAAAAGAATTATTATTATTATTATTTTATTATTATTATTATTATTATTATTATTATTATTATTATTATTTTATTATTATTATTGGAATTGGATTTTGGTTTTNGTAATATGAAAATTAAAAAAACAAATCGACTTTAATTAATCCAAATACAAAATTTCTGATCCTATCGTAAAAACAAGCAAAGCAATCCCTCTCGAAATATCTCGCGCGGCCGATCTCGTATGAATAAAAATAACCTGTGACTCAATATTCCAAATGAACTTTTAATTTTTAATTTCGTACTGAAAAAACGAGATGACAATATTCTAAGCACGGAATTATATTCATGAAATGAACAGATTAATTGAATTACCGTGTGAACTAACTAAAAATTAATAACAGTGTGCCACACACTTTTTCCAGAGTATCAACAACCATTGAATTCCAGAAATTCACACTCTAAAGTCTGTTCTAGAAGGAATTGAATTGTAATTATGATTAAAATCTTATTCAGTGAGGATAGGAATTAGAACATTCGCAAATCATTTATTGTTGTAATATGAAAATTTAACAGCTGATAAATTGAGGCATATGATTCTCATCGATCGTATTGCTTTTTGCAATGAGAATGATTATAAACAATTAATTGATAATTGAAGAAGAGAATTAGAATTGGAAAAGAATTATTATTATTATTATTTTATTATTATTATTATTATTATTATTATTATTATTATTATTATTTTATTATTATTATTGGAATTGGATTTTGGTTTTGAAAAAACGAAAATGCCAATTTATTCTATTTCAAAATTTCCGCATGGGATATTCGGATAGGTCTCTGCATTACCAACAATTTCCACCTGCCTAACCTTTCACAACGCTAACACGCGGAACTCTATCCTGTCAGGCGAAATGATTCGTTAGATTGAGCGAGGTTAATTTCTACAATAAATTTAATAATCAAACAGCATTGTCGGTGATTGGCTCTCCAATTGGACTCTCATATTACTAAAATAAATCGTAAAAATGGTAGAAACGAAGAGTGATCAGGCCGGAGAGGAGGGTCCACCGAAGACAGCGAAACAGTTGGAGAAGGAGGCGAAGAAACTTGCGAAATTAGAAAAATTCAAACAGAAGCAGGACAAGAAGGAGAACTCTGCGGGGTCCAGTGTCAAACAGAAGGAGAAGAATGAGGTAATTGTTGAAATTCGTTGGTAATTCGCTTCGACACGTCGATTCTTCGCTTGCAGCTGGATCCATATGTCTTTTTGGAGTGAAGGATGACGATTGTTGCTCATTGTTTAAACATTTCATTATTCAATTCGTGATTTTTCGGGGGAGAACGTCAAGACGTTCCATTTTGGTGGTCATTAGTCCCCCAGGAATTGATTTTTTGAATGTTTTCCTTGCACTTTTCAGCTGTCATTGCATTGTTGCATCAGAATTACACCTGAAATTCCATGGCATTGAAACTAACATTTTAAGCTATAATTGAATTCATTTGAATGATATCCCCGAAATTCCAATTTTCAAAAAATACAAAAATTTTGCGAATTTTTATATAAATCGAAACAACGATTATCGCTATCGCCATCGTCTTCGAACTCGGTCAAAAGGGCATCCAAACAATTTTTTAAGCCATCGTTCAATGAATTGAGAACATTTTTGTTAGTTATCGTGGGACAACTGATTTTTTGAAAAATTCAAAAATTAAAAAAATTATCGAATTAATTTTAACAAATATTTTCTCCACTTATCAATCAGTCAGTAGCGAAGTGTTAAAACGGTACAAGTCAATGTTTTAAATTTTTTATTAATGCTTCGGAACCCATTTTCGGGCTCATTCAGTTGACATGGATGAGAAAAATACAAAAAAAAGAGAACGACTAATAACAGCCTTCAATTATCGCAGATTGTGTGGTTTTGGTTGTAGTTATCTAGACATTGTTGCTGTTATTATGACTATATTAGTTTTAAATCTGTAGTTCACATTTCTTAAGAAATTTTGTAATGTCTCTGATTGTTTCTTCGAGGGTGGTACAAGTCAGTTTTGACTATCTACCAGTTTTCAATGAATATCTCGGAATCTAAGGGAGATAGCAAAATTGTTGTTATAACCTTTTTTGTAGAGCCGATTGAGTGCTACAAGAAATGTGATTACGAAAATTTCGCTATCTCCCTTAGATTCGGAAATATTCCTCAAAAACTCAACTATGAGTCGACTTGAACTGTTTTACCACTTCGCTACTCATTTAGTTCTTCATAAAAAATCCCTCAGGCATCATTCATAACCCTTCAAAAATAATCACCTCCCCCCAGAAACCAGAAAGGAAGAAAGAAATCAAGGAGTCCGTAGTTTACGAGATTGCCACCCCTCCGGGCGTAAAAAAAGACGTGTCCATTCCGATGCCGGACGCCTACAGCCCCCAGTTCGTGGAGGCAGCCTGGTACCCCTGGTGGGAGCGCGAGGGCTTCTTCAAGCCCGAGTACGGCAGGAAATCCCTGTCCGAGCCCAACCCCAAGGGGACCTTCGTGATGGTCATCCCTCCGCCGAATGTTACTGGTTTCCTTCATCTGGGGCACGCCCTGACGAATGCTGTCGAGGATGCCATCACCAGGTGGAACCGCATGAAGGGCCGCACCACCCTCTGGAACCCGGGATGTGATCACGCAGGGATCGCTACTCAGGTCGTGGTGGAGAAGAAGATCTGGCGCGAGGAGCAGAAGACTCGGCATGACTTGGGGCGAGAGAAGTTCATCGAGAAGGTGAGAATTAAGGGAATGGATTCCATTTGAAATCCCATGGATTCATTAGATTAGAGTTATTTAAACTTTAAGATTGTGGGTGATAAGTCACTGAACCGTTCGACATTCGGAGAATCTGTTGATATAAAATTGGTATTACATAGTTATTACATGAGTTAGTTCATTAGCATCTTGAGCTAGAACAATATTGCCAGGATTATACTATCGTAAACCGAGTACTGTTTGGGGATGGGCAATAATATTAGATTTTGACAATGTTAAAAAGGTTATTAATTTTTTTGATAATGTCAAATGTGATTTTGAGAATGTTAAAGGTTACTATTATTATCTCCTTATATTGTTCAGAGTTTAACTATATTTAACAAATTTAAAATATAAAATTTATTAACTAAATTTTCCGATTGATGGTGAATAAAATATCTGATAATATTGAAATGTAATTTTTTAGTTAAGAAGCTAATCCTAAATTTAGGTATGATAAGTGGTAAATCGGGTCAAGTCAATTTTTACTATTAGTCAGTTTTTGACGAATATCTCGGAATCTAGAAGAGATAGAAGAATTTTTATCATGACCTTTTTTATAATCCTCAGTTGGCTCTACAAAAAAGGTGATGAGAAAAATTTTGCTATCTCTCTTAGATTCCGAGATATTCCTCAAAAACCGGCCAAAAGTCAAAATCGACTTATTCCACTCTCTGAACCTCATCAGGTATGGCAATGGAAGAACGAAAAAGGTGGCAGGATCTACGAGCAACTGAAGAAATTGGGGAGTTCCTTCGACTGGGACCGCGCCTGCTTCACCATGGACCCCAAGCTCTGCAGAGCCGTGATCGAGGCCTTCGTCCGTCTCCACGACGAGAACATCATCTACAGGAGCAACAGGCTTGTCAACTGGTCGTGCACCCTGAAGAGCGCCATCTCCGACATCGAAGTCGACAAAGTTGAGCTCTCGGGGAGAACCCCTCTACCAATCCCCGGTTACACCGAGAAAATCGAGTTCGGAGTTCTGGTGCATTTCGCCTACGAAGTCGAGTCCTCCAGCGAGAAGCTCATCGTGGCCACCACCAGGATCGAAACGATGCTTGGAGACACTGCCATCGCAGTCCACCCCAATGACAAGAGACATCAACACCTCGTTGGGAAATTCGTGACTCATCCCTTCTGCAGCAGAAGAATTCCAATCATTGCTGATGACTTCGTGGACACGGAGTTTGGCTCTGGAGCTGTCAAAATCACTCCAGCGCACGATCCCAATGACTACGAAGTTGGAAAACGTCATAACTTGCCGTTCATAACGATTTTTGATGACGAGGGCACGATCATCGGGGATTATGGCGAATTTACTGGGATGAAGAGGTTTGTTACGAATTTAATTTTGTTAGTAACAATAATAACTATTACTAAAAGCCTATGGAAATTAAGAATTATTTTATTCAATAATAATGCAATAATTCATTCAATTTTGTTGAGAATTCCATTTGCCTTTCGATGATTTTTTTTTAATTCCACAGCCCTTCTATTTTTTTATTCAAATAAAAATGTTCAATAGACTGAATTTCGATTGAATAACTATGCAAATTTCTCAATAGAATTGTCAAGAAACTAATGAAATTGTAGAATTTCATGATCAAGTTTTTCTCAACACTTGAATGATAAAGCTTAAAAAAATTATTTAAAAAATTTCTTTAACAATTATTATTATTATTATTATTGTAACAAATAATTAATGAATAATAATAAAAAATGAAAAATAAAGTTATTAATAAATAATAGCAATAATTAATATTATTGTTAATAATAATAATAATAATAATAATAATACGTAATTATAATAATTCATAATAATAATCAAATGTTTCAATTAATAGGAATTTAACAACAGAATAATAAAACTTCCAATATAATAACAGATTCCACGCAAGAAAAGCCATCTTAAAAGCCCTCACCACCAAAAACCTCTTCATTGAGATCAAAGACAACCCAATGGTGGTGCCAATATGCAGTAGATCGAAGGACATCGTGGAGCCCATGATAAAACCCCAGTGGTACATTAGATGCGACGAGATGGCGGCTGATGCAGTTGAGGTCGTGACCTCTGGAGAACTGAAGATAGTTCCAGAGCAGCACAAGAAGACATGGCACCACTGGATGGAGGGCATCAGGGATTGGTGCATCTCCAGGCAGCTGTGGTGGGGCCACAGGATTCCAGCGTACTTTGTTACTTTCACTGGGTCCTCGAGACCGGCAGATGTCTCTGATGACGACCTCTGGGTGTCTGGGAGGTCCGAAGACGAGGCGAGAAGAAAAGCTTCTGAGAAGTTCAATGTTCCTGAGGGAGAGATCAGCCTCAAACAGGTGAGACTTCTGTGATATTCTGGTGGGATTCTGTTTTTTTTGAGTCTCCAGGGGTCAGGGTAAGGAATTACTCAACCTTTAACCCCTGAAACAGGATCCTGATGTCTTGGACACCTGGTTCTCCTCAGGATTATTCCCATTTTCAATATTTGGGTGGCCCGATGAGACCGAGGAGCTGAAGGCCTTCTATCCTGGAACCCTCCTCGAGACTGGACACGACATTCTGTTCTTCTGGGTCGCGAGGATGGTGTTCTTGGGGAAGAAGCTTCTAGGGAAACTCCCCTTCAAGGAGGTCTACCTCCATGCCATGGTCAGGGATGCCCATGGCAGGAAGATGAGCAAGTCCCTTGGGAATGTCATCGACCCCATGGACGTCATCAAGGGTGTCACTCTGGAGAACCTTCATGAGCAGCTGGTGGAGTCGAATCTCGACCCCAGGGAGCTGAGGAACGCCATCGAGGGGCAGAAGAAGGACTATCCTCAGGGGATTCCGGAGTGCGGGACTGATGCCCTGAGGTTTGCACTCTGCGCTTATACCTCGCAGGGACGAGACATCAATCTGGATATCCTCAGGGTACAGGGCTACAGGTTCTTCTGTAATAAAATTTGGAATGCCACCAAGTTTGCTCTTATGTATCTGGGGGATTTCAAGTGTGATGAGGATAATGAGGTAGTTATTATTTTTCATAATTTCGAAATTTTTTGTCATTGACGATTTTTAATTGAGACATTTTTCATTATGCTCTACTTTAAAACATTATTATTGATTGAAATATGCATAATTTCAATGAAATTTGGTAGAAGAGAAATGTCAACGGGTCGAAAATTGGGGATAAAGACTGGTACTTGAAGCTGCTAGCTGAGGAATGCATTCAAGACTCGTTGAACGATTATTTAGGAGAATTCCCGTATCTCGATGGCTACACGCCATCGCAAGCAGACAATAAAATTGCAAAAATACTCGATAAGATTGAGATCGATGGGGAGAGGAGGAACCTCAAGCGGTGGCAGGGGCACATGAGGAGCTTCAGTCAGAACGAGAAAATTTCGTTTAGATCGGAAAATGGGGAGTTTATGGCTCGGTGCACATCGAGATCCTCCTCGACTATTCCTGGGGGATTTCAGGTGGGCGGTGTTCCCTGTAGGGTTCGACCCGGGGAGTAATCACTCAGGAAATTTTGTGTACAGAGCGAATTGAGGGAGTTTCTTAAATTCTCAGGTGTTCGAAATTATGTAAATCACAATGGATTACCAGAAATTTTACAGTATCTTTTCATGTTCCAGGGAAAATTTTGGATCTTTGAGATTCTGGGAATTTTACCATCACATTTGATGATAATCGATATAATCCAGTGGTACATTTTGAACTGACAACCTTCAGATTACGAGACTGATGCTCTTATCAATTGAATCACATTTGATAGTAACCGATATAATCTAGGCGCAGGTTTTGAACTCACAACCTTCAGATTACGAGACTTTTGCTCTCACCAATCAAGCTATATCAATTCTATGGAATTTAGCACCCACGAAAAATTTTCTAAAGAAACTTAACGAATTCGATAAAAAAATTCTGTGAGATTTCTATTGAAGGTTTACTGGAAAATCTATTGGTTTTCGGCCGTTTTTTATTGAAGAATTCCACAGCTTTGCTATGCGTTTTTCGTATAGAAAATGGCCAGTGGAAACTTTAATAGAAAACAGTAGAATTTAATTTTCGTATACAATTTTTTGTGTTGAGGTATTTTCTGTAGAAATTCCTTGACATGGATTTTCCAAGTGTTTCCACCTTTTCCAAGCCTGACTCTTAGAAATTCTAATAAAAAACCAATACAATTTTCCGATGAATTCGCTAGGTCTTTCTATGAAACTTTTTCGTTCGTGTGTAAATTAGAAACCTGGAGTACAAATTTTCCTGGAGTGATTACCCTCTTGGCTCCCCCTTTTCCCCACCACCCACGTCGATCTTTCCACAGTAGAAATAATTATGTCACCTCAAATCCGCTTTATTCACCCAAAAAATTATGTAGAATATGAATAGAGAATTAGCATGAAATTCTTGCCACGTGGGAACCTCAACCATTCCACCAACACCTCCTCATTTTTCCTTTACAATTCCACAGCTCACAGGACACGAGTCAAATGTCGACCTGTGGATGCTGTCGAGAGTGAGTCACGCAGTGAAAACTTGTGATGAAGGGATGGCTGAGTATGATTTCAATGCAGCCACCACTGCCTGCTACAATCTCTGGCTCTACGATCTCTGTGACGTGTACCTGGTAAATTCAGTCATCATAATGATCCTTCTGGGCCTACCATATGCGCTGGACCGTGAATAACAAATTCACTTTTTGGTATCAATATTCTTCTAGGAATATTTGAAGCCAGTGTTTCAGTCCGGAACCCCAGAGCAAGTTCTCGCCGCCAGGAAGGTTCTATTCAAGACTCTGGACGTGGGACTGAGATTACTCAGTCCATTCATGCCTTTCATCACCGAGGAGCTGTACCAACGATTACCAAGATCCAATTTAACGTATCCTAGTATCTGTGTGAGTCCGTATCCAGAAGTTTCAGAGGTAATTACATTCTTAGTTCAAAATTCGAGTGAAATTATTGACAAATACAGAATTATGAATTTAAATCAATTTTATAAACTATGAATTGAACGACACAAGTGGCCCATTGCACTTATGTATTGAAAGTGCACATTCAGTTTTTTGTTATTAATTTAAGATTAGTGGGGAAGTTCAACCCTGACTTGACCGTGACATTACCTTGGAAGTCGGGCCAATGTCGGGGCAGTGTTGGGTCAATGTCGGGGCAGGGTTGGGTCAATGTCGGGGCAGTGTTGGGTCAATGTCGGGCCAATGTCGGCCCAAGATTGGCTCCCTCATAAGGCTATAATTTCAAAAGAAATAATGCGATGGCCACCATTTTCAAACTGAACCGAAATAACAACCAAACGAATATTTTAAGCCATAATTGAAAAGATTTCGATGATTATTTTTTGAATGATCGTCGAAAAACGAAATTGGAAATAAAGCTCACATACATACATACGGACATGATGTAAAAACAGCTTATTCGAATTCCTGAGAGGAAAATCAGTCATCTTGACACCAAAAAATGGAAAGAATAAAAAAATAATAAAATAAATAATAAAAAGGATTTTAAAAATGAAAAAATACATTATTTTTCATTTTCAGTGCCCATGGAGGAATGAAACCAAGGAGAAAGACGTTGACTTTGCGTACAAACTAATAAAGAGTATTAGATCAGCCCGATCAACTTACAATTTACCAAATAAAACTAAAACTGATGCCTACATCGAGTGCAGCGATCCAAATCTGCAAAGACGTCTTGATGATTACAACTTGATGATTGGAACTCTCGCTTACTCGAATGTTCTGGATGGAAAGGCACCTCAGGGGTGCGCTATCATAACTGTAACTGATAAAGTGCAAGTTCATTTGTTGCTCAAGGTAAAAATTTATTTTCAATCTCACAATTTCATTCGTGAATTGAAAAAAATACTCTAATGGAGTGAAATGAAATTTATCAATGCATTAATGCTACTTGTTGTTTGGAGATTTCTAGCTAATAGGAAATTTAGAAATATGAAAAGTTCATTTGGTGGATTCTCTTGTCTTCAGGGCCTGATTGACCCCCCGAAGGAGCTGGAGAAACTCATGAAGAGAGAGGAGCAGCTGAAGTCAACGATTCAGAAATTAAAACAGGCGGTGGCAGCCAGCGACTACACGACCAAGGTCCCTGCTGAAGTTCAGAAAAATAATTCTGAGAAACTCGTCAACAGTGAAGGCGAACTCGAGCAAATTGCTGGGGCCATGCAAGCGCTACGGTTAATGTTATAATGGGGGATTTTTTAGCACTCTTGGTCATTTATGAACAAATATAATTTATTAAAAAGAATGAAAAATAGTTGATGTGTTTTTTCCATTGCATGTTCGTAAATCTCGTATCTATTTTTTCCTGTAATTAATTATAAAAAATCTAAAATCCTGAACGTCAGCAAACTGTAGAATTCCCAAAAATCCATTCTCTCATGATTTTTAGGAATTTCAATTCGATCTTGTCTATACAGCAGTCTCTTCTAGTGAAGCAGTGGATTAAAAATTGTACGACGTCGATGAAGAATTCGTATATAGTGGGGGGAAATAAAGAGTCTACATATAGGAACCCCTGTCTGACGATTCTCCACTGTTCACCTCTTTTCGCATTCTATAATATCCTCGTTTCGTCTCTCAAACGCTGCAGCCAAGAAAGAAGATATTTGAAGCCTTGCAACGCGAAAGGGTTTATTCACGATGGGTCTGGGTGCATACACTTACGTGGGGTGAGTCTAATGCAACCCCAAAAATCTTCACTCGTTTAAACAATTTCATAGAAGAACCTAGCGGATTCGATTTTCACGTTCAACCTATTCAACTGACATATTTTTTATAGAATTTTAACATCCCAAATTTTCTAAATTGTTTTGTTTGATTTTTTCGATGAAAAGAAAAGAAATGTAGAATGAAAAAAACTTGTAAAATTCGAGCTGGGGATATTCTGAGGAAAATATCTATTGAATTTTTCTGTAGAATATTTTCTACTGAATATTTCAATAGAATCGGCTGAAAATTAATCGCAAGTTGAATAGAAATTCAATAGAATTGTCTAGCGAAGTCCTAATATTTTTTCATTAAATTTTTTCGTCCATGAATTCTCTTTTCCATTCCATAGCATTTACCTTTTCTCTAGGGAAAACTTAACACTTTATATTCTATTCTTTATTCTCACAGAGGAACCCCCAGGGATACCGTACAATTCACGATCAACGGCGTTCTGTACACCAGTAAGTATTGTACAAATTACGTATGAAAAAATTTAATAGAAAATCGTAGCGCTTTCTCTAAGAAATTATATTAAATTTTTATTAGAATTCTATTGAAAGATTCTATTTGTTTTTGCGTCAATTCTATTAAAAAATCATGCAACGTCCCCCCCTCGTTTTTAAATGAATATTTGTTTACAGAAAAAGGTCTATAGATGTTGGTTTTTCTGTACAACTTATTCTGCTGAGATTTTTAAAAATAGAATTTCTTACAGAAAGCGCTAGATTTTTCTGTAAATTTTTTTCGTGCAGGATACCAATTAATAAACAATGAAAAAACTAGATAAAGAAATCGAAAATTGAATCATTCTCCGTGGAAATCTCACGAATACATGACTCCACGCAACTCGCTCAGTCCATAAGATATGTTGAATAATCCCAAGAAAAAAGACCAGAACAATAATTTCTTTTTGTCCGTCCTCACTCGTCTGGAAACCGAAAATTACATGATATTTTCTGAGTTAACGAGATGCCGAATAAACATACTTGAAAGTGGATATCGCGCTGCCAGACCATTGATTACACAAACAAAAGAATAACTGGCCATGTTGTCTTGTTGAGAATCCACTCTGAGATGCTACTACACGTATGAAAAAATCGTATAGAAATTTTCTACATTACGGATTGCGTATAAAATTTCTGTAGGATTTTTGTATATGATATTCGGATATTTCTATACAGATATTTTTTATAGGGGTGGGTGGGGTAAAACGGACACTTTAGACTTTTATTTAAATTATTCATAACTCAGAAACAAATCGATCAATTTTCTATTGAATTTTTTCTATTGAACATGTCAATAGAATCGGCCAAAAACTAATAGAAAGTTTAATAGAAATTCAATAGAATTTTCTAACGAATTCGATAGGTTTTTTTTATTAAATTTTTTCGTGCGTGGCCACATGTATAGAGCTATTTCGAATGGAGTTGTTTAGATATCAAACGAAAATCCTACAGATTTTTTTCATACATGTACTGTAGAGTAGCCGTTGGCTAATTTTATTTCTGCAAGTCACGAATGCTTTTTGTACAAAAGATTTGTTTTGATAAGGATTTATTGTGGCTCCTGTTTTTTTAATTGCACACAGTTAATGAGGAGATCCGTCCGGAGACTTCACTGAATGTTTTTATAAGAGACCATGCACTTCTGCGAGGTACGAAGGCAATGTGCCATGAGGGTGGCTGCGGTGCTTGCATTGTGGCGGTCGAGATTCACGGGGAGACATTGGCCGTTAATTCGTGTCTAGTGCCGGTTCTTATTTGCAATGGGTGAGAGTTTTCATTGGAGGGCTGACTACTTTAATTTCTCAATCAAAATAATCACAGCTTCGAGAGCTATTTGTCGATTTTGTGACTCATTCTATATTGAGCCGAGGAAATTCTATAGAAAATATCTCAATAGAATAAGTTATGTAGAAAAATTGAATTCTTTTTTTTTAATCGTTATTTTCCATCGCTTCGACCCGGTTATGGTATACTGCGATGATGATCAAGACTTTAAAATGGTTAGATCGCATCATTCTACCCGGCCGGGATTTGAACTCGGAACCTTTCGCATGTGAGGCGACGAACTTACCCACTGCGAAAAAAAAGCCACCGGAAAAAAAAAAAAAAAAAAACAATTGACTTTTTCTGCTGAATATTTTCTATTGAACATTTCAATAGAATGGGCCAAAACTAATAGAGCAGTTCAACAGAAATTCAATAGAATTTTTTAACGAATTCGCTAGGTTTTTCTATTAAATTTTGTCGTCCGTGTGATCGTATCAACTGTTGTATTTATTGTCAAGAATCAATCGTTGTTATTGACTAGTTGGAGAATCAAAACGGTGGAAGGAATAGGGAGTAAGAAAATGGGGTACCACAAGATTCAGGCGACTCTTGCAGAAATGAACGGCTCCCAGTGCGGCTACTGCTCCGCTGGAATGGTCATGAATATGTACAGGTTTGTTTGACCAATCAAGCGATATTATTTGCACATGAATACATGCACATGCTTGACAGTTTGATGGAGAGTAAGAAGAATACGATGAAGGAGATTGAGAATTCATTTGGGAGCAACATTTGCCGCTGCACTGGCTATCGTCCCATTCTGGAGGCCTTCAAGAGTCTAGCGAGTGATGCTGAACCCGCTATGGTCCAGAGGGTGCAAGACATTGAGGTAACGAGGAGAATTATATTTTTTCTCCGAACGATTTTCTCCTGCCTAATCATCACTGTTGCTGGCATAGTAAAAATAGAAAAAAAGAGAAATATAGAGAAAAAATTTAAAAAAATAAATAAAAAAAAAAAAAAAAATCTCAAAATAATCTCTAAATATAGAAATTTATAGTAGAAATAAATGGATGGTAATTCGATGATTGAAGGATCTCTACAACTTGAAAAAATGCCCCAAGTCGGGGCAGCCGTGCAAAGGTACTTGCGATGAACCCGAAGAATTAACGATAGTCGAGGAAATTCGTATGGAGTTTGGTAACGTCAAGTTTCAAAAGGTCCTCGACTTGGAGAATCTGTTCGCAGTATTTGCAAGTAATCCAGATGCAACGTATGTTCTCAATGGTGGCAATACAGCTCATGGTGAGGATCACGCACGAAAAAATTTAATAGAAACAGTCAACAGAATTCGATTTTTCTGTATAACTTATTCTTTTCATATATTTTCTATAGAATTTGGTCGATTCAAATTTTCCAAGTTTTTTTCCATTTTATTTTTCTTTTCAGCTCATCAACAAAATCAAACGAAAAAACTTGGAAAATTGGAAAACTCAATAGAATAAGTTATATAGAAAAATTGAATTCTATTGACTTTTTCTACTGAATATTTTCTATTGAACATTTCAACAGAATCGGCTAAAAACTAATAGAACAGTTCAATAGAATTTTCTAACGAATTCGATAGGTTTTTCTATAGAAAGTAAACACAAAATTGAGACTCGAAACCGGAATCGGTCACAAGGGTCAGGATTAGGGTCATAAATTGGATAGGGAATCCTATAGGAAATCTATAGGAAATCCTGTGGAAAATCCTGTCAGAAAAATCCGATAGGAAATGTTCGAATTCTCCATAGAATTTCCTCCTCTAGGAAATCCTATAGTATTTTTTCCTACGTGTGGTCAGCAGATATCGAAGAGGGAGCATTACTAGGAGAAATGTATTATTGGGTGTTTACAGGTGTATATCGGTTGCAAAAGCCTCAAATATACATAGACTTGAACGACGTCGTTGATCTTCGTAGAGTAGAGAAAGCCGCAGACAGCCTGATTTTGGGTGGCAATGTTACTCTGTCGACAGTGAAAAATACTTTTATTCAATTCTGCGAGGATCCCGGCTTCCATCATCTCCGGCAAATGGCTGATCATGTGGACCTCATTGCTAGTGTATCAGTGCGCAATGTATGTCAATATAATTTCTCATATGATAAATCTTCATGCAAAATTCGAATCGACTTGTGTCCTGACGCGAAAGTAAAGTTGAGATGCTCACGTTATGTAAAAGTTAAAAGTTAATTTTCTAATTTGAGTAGTCGTATTCAGATTTCATTCAAACTTCATAAGTATCCTCAAGTCCCTGACGCAAACATCCCGTGTAATTGACGACTAATAATTTTGCGCAACTTCCACTCCAATGGCTCATACAGTCTCAATTGCACTAGCATTAGAACATATTTATTCTTATATAAGAAATCTTAACAAGTGCGTGCTAACATGGGAATTGTATCTTGACAGTGTGACAACGAAAGGTTGAAGTTTGTTCAATTTAAGGTGTTTCGTCTGTTGATCACAGGGGCTGAAACGGAAAGGGAGTCTTATTGTTCTCGAGCCCTGATTCAATCGCTGAGCAGAAAATTTTCCAATTTTCACCTTAAAAAAATGAATGAATGAATGACTTTTAACTATTTAAGGCCCGGGTGTACTATCTTTCGAATGTTATCTGGATTTTTTTTATCTTTCGTAATCCAAAGTTCTGAGTGGTACATCACGTAGAAATTCCCAAAAATTATGATAGAGTGATAAAAAAAAATAGGAAAAATTCTGAGCTTTTTCAAAGAGCGTTTTTAATTGAGATTCAGAATGAGTTGAATAAAGTGGAAATTTCAAATATCTGATTCGCTGTGGCAAATGATCTATTAACTTACTTCAGCCGTAACACCTTAAAGGGGGTGACTCTATTGAGAACTTGATATTTTTTCGATTTTTACGCTTGACTTTTCTCTTTCGATGCTCGATTTCAGGTAGGTACTATAGCTGGAAATCTCATGATAAAACACAAACACAACGAGTTTCCGTCGGATCTCTTCCTGATACTGGAAACGGCTGGAGCTGAAATACACATACGTAACAATTTTAATTCTCTTCTTTCATTGCGTCCCACGTACATTAGAACATAGTTTTTCTGGACAACTTACAACCTTTTGGTCTTGTCCCAATTTTTCATGCAAAACAAGTTGAAATTTAAATTTATTCTCACAGTCGAATCTCCGGGGCAGAAGAGTATCGTCAACTTCATCGACTTCATGAATACGGATATGAACCACAAAATCATATACAGCGTATCGCTCCCAGCATTGAGCCCTGATCATGTTTATCGATCTTACAAGGTACGCCGACAGCATTGCGTCGAAGAAGAACAATATTTTCACTCAAGGCCCGGGTGGATTATCTCTCGAACGTTATCTCGATTGTTTTTCCATCTTCATAACGTAAAAGATATCACAAATTCCGTTGGATTTTACATCACGCAGGAGTCCCTGAAAATTATGATTCTACATTTAAAGAAAGTCGAAAAAAACTGAACATTTTCAAAGAACATTTTCTTTTAATAAAGATTAAGAAATAAGTCTGATAGAGAGGAAATAGTGAATGGATAATTCATCATGGTAACTAACAATCTGACAGCCTCTAGATACATCAAATTATTAATTTGCAATTTCCTCTCTATTGCGTTTATTTCCCAATATTACTAAAAAACGCTTGAAAATGTTCAGCTTTTTTTCAACGTTTTTTTGATTGTACAATCATAATTTTTGGGGACTCCAGGGCTATGTAAACCTGAATGGCAATTGGAGACCATTACTTTCTGTGTTATGGCTCCCTTTCTTTTTTCCATTTCTACGAATTCCATTGGTAATAAGCTTCCGAATGGATCGGCATCAATTCTTAAAAAGATGGAAATGCCATGGTCTTATTCAGCTCAGATTAGATATCAGCAATATCACTGGACAATACTTTCCTGCAACAATTTGAAATGGTTCCAGCTCACATCACACTTCCTGTCCAAAAAAAAAACGAAGATGATCACGTTCGAATGATAATCCACCCGGGCCTTAACGATTTCATACTCAACACAATTCACAGATAATGCCGAGGGCACAGAATGCACACGCTTACGTGAACGCCGGATTTCTTTTCAAAGTGGATGCAGCTGGAAAGGCACTGGAGAAGCCCAACATACTTCTTGGTGGAATCAGACCTGATTTCGTAAGTTCTATACAATTTATTGTCTATTAATTTTTTATTTACGAGTAATAACTCAAAAAAATGTTAGGATTAATATAAATAAAATCGCTCGTTCATTAAATGTTTTGTCTGAATAGTTACCGTCAGAATTTAATGCCTGATAAAGAATAATTTCAGTTCTTAGATATGAATTCATGTCATCGTGTTAAACTCGTTCATCCGTACAAAATTATACACGCACGAAAAAATTTAATAGAAAAACCTATCGAATTCGTTGGAAAATTCTATTGAATTTCTATCAAACTTTCTATTAGTTTTTGGCTGATTCTATTGACATTTTCAGTAAAAAACCGCGCTGTTGAGGAATTATAAAAAGCTGAATGGGGAGTATTAATTATTTATCATTCGCAGTTGCATGCTAAAGCCACCGAAGATTACCTGAATGGTAAATCGGTGTTGGATAAGGATGTTTTCAAGCAGGCGATGGAAGCCCTCACTTCGGAAGTCACTCCCGATCACGTTCTACCGGATTATTCTCCGGAGTTCCGGAAAACTCTTGCGCAAGGATTGTTCTATAAAGTGAGAGACTGATTACGGATAGAGAATTCATTATTCATTGACGTAATATCTCATTCCCATTGCAGTTTGTTCTCAGCTTGAAACCAGAAGATTTAGACGAGAAACTACGCAGTGGAGGGACAGTCCTGGAGCGAGGGGTCTCCTCAGGAAAATGTGATTATGAAACGGACGAGAGCCTCTGGCCGTACAGCAAACCACTGCCGAAGGTGGAATCCATCTATCAGACGTCCGGTGAGGCACAGTACGTCAATGATATTCCACCCCAGCCGCACGAAGTATTCTGCGCTTTTGTGATCAGCGAAGTTCACAGTGGCAGAATCGCCAGCATTGACACCACTGCAGCACTGGTAATGAATTGTTCCTCTATAAACGAATTGGTGAAACGTTTTCTGTTATCGATCTATTTCGCCAAGTTATGTCATGTTCATGGAATAAGAATTCTAATCTTAACTTAGCTTGGATTATTTTATTTCATCTTATTCAATTTTTCAAAAAATATATTTATGTTTTTTTGATAATATGTCCATTTTTTTTATTCTCTTAATTCTCAATTTTACAAAATTTATTACTTGCATGAAAATGAAAATATAAAATATAAAAATAATCTTCTTCATTTGTTTTTTTTTATATAAAAATGTATATACAATATATGTATATAAAATATATAATATATAATATGGAATATACATCACATATAATAGTATATTTTTTAAAATCAATTTTTGAATTAAAAAAAAATTAGTAAAAAAATTCCAGACATACATTTTTTTGGGTTGCGGATTTGACGTGGAACTGGGCATATATATATATACTCCAATAACAATAAAATGTCATTGACGAAATTCCATTGAGAGGCAATAGAATTTCTCGATGTCATATACCCATTCGTGATTATCATCCGTAGGAGATGAAAGGTGTAAGAGCCTTTCTATCAGCAAAGGATGTACCTGGGAAGAATCTCTGCATCGTTGCAGCAAACAAAAAGCTGTTCGGCTTATACGATGAACTGGTGAGTCTCATCTCCACACTTCTCATGACATGCCACTGAAATTCCAGAGGAGTTTTCAATTTTCTAGCTACTCGCTGAAGACGTCGTTACTCACACTGGCCAGCCGATCGGTATAATCTGTGCGGACACTCAACTCCTCGCTCATGAAGCAGCGCAGAAGGTCAAAGTGCATTACACAGACATATCGGAAGGTAAACCGGTAATAACTAATCAGGACGCAATCGACTGCGATGATAAGGATAGGATCAGAGAGTGCGTCAATGTTCCAGCAACAAGAAAAGGTTTTCCACACGATTATCCGTATTATTATTTCTCCCAGTAAACATTTTCGAGGCCATGCTGATGAAGTTGGTTAGCCCCTGCGTTATTCAATGAACGATATCTTGAAAACAGTAGAACGAAAAAAATCGAAATAAAATGCACTGGCTGTATTGAACATTGAAATAAACTCCTAGAGAATTCCCTAATTTTTGACACCAATTCCAATGTTTGCCGACAATTGATTGTCGAGATCTTCGAACATGCTGAATTTATTTATAACAAACAAATTATTCAACAAATCGAAATTAAACTTCTGCCATTCGATAGACCATTGAAATATTTTCATTAAAAATTTCAAAATTTCTGAGGGAAATTTTGTCGATAAACGAAATAATTTAATATGATCGAATCGGTTGGATGTTAAATTTTCATCTACAACTTTTGTTCATCGAAAAAAATATTATAAATGCATTTAAAAAAATAAAATAAAATGGTACACTGCAGAGACAATTCCACTGACTTTCCAAATATCTTTTCCAAATGTCAATGTCTCTTAGAAGTTGAGAAAATGATTTTTTACTGTTGACGGAAAGGGTCGATACCATGCATTGACCCTTAAACTTGTCCTATCGGCCGAAGTCAATGCATGGTATCGACGCCGTACGTGAGGGGTTAGAGATCAGGAGATGTTGGTGTCGAATCATTGACAATTTAATGAACGGTGGTGTTCCTTCATCAACATCTGATCATCTCCAACCAGAATGATTTCCTTCGTCACACTCTTGGGTGATGAATGTCTTAATCTCATCAGGTGACAATCCAGTTCAACAAGTAATAAAAGGTACATTCAATTGTGGAGGTCAGTACCACTTCACACTGGAGCCGCAATCCTGCGTCTGCATCCCAACGGAAGATGGCATGGATGTCTATCCAGCTACTCAATTCGTAGATTTTGCGCACGTTTCGATAGCTTCCTGCCTGGGAATGCCGCACAACAGGTGAATTGTTTATCACTTATCCCTGGAATAAATTCTGCGAATTACTGAATGTGAACAGGACATTTCGCTCTTTTCTACCCAGGATCAACATAAATGTTAGACGGGTGGGCGGATCTTATGGCGCAAAGTTAGTGAGGAGCACCCCCATGAGTTGTGCATGTGCTATTGCGGCGTATGTATTGAATCGTCCAGCGCGTTTCATCATGACCATCGAGAGCAACATGATGGCTATAGGGAAACGATTCCCAGTCAAGCATGACTACGAGTTTGGGGTTGATGCTGATGGGGTTATTCAGCACTTGGATCAGAAGACGTATCACAATGCAGGTGGTTCTTTCAATGAACCAATCGCAGGAGTGAGTTTTCATCACTGCAACTCGTGCTACGATAAGTCGACGTGGAATTCTCTGGGTTACGAAGTTCGCACTGATATTCCATCGAACACGTATGTGAGGGGACCAGGTTGGTATTGACTCGTCACTCTCAGTTCGAGCGTTTTGACTTCACGGGGATTCCCCGTCTCGCCTCATTTATGATTATTGGATACACTGCGCATGCGCCATTTGCGCAGTAGCCTGCGCAGTGGTGCCGCGAGTGAAGCGATGCGATCTTGGCTCTCACTGTTTTCGCTGCAGTGAGGACACAGTAGAAATATTCCGTCGGATATTCTTCGCGAGATATTCTCTGCTGAGTAAACACCCGGAAGAATCCTAAAATTTCCCTCAGAATAGACCGTCTCATTTTCGAGCGCATTGACTTCACGGGGATTCCCCGTCTCGCCTCACTTATGATCACTCAACATACTGCGCATGCGCCGTCTGCGCAGTGGCCTGCGCAGTGGTGCCGCGAGTGAAACGATGCGATCTTGGCTGTCATTGTTTTCGCTGCAGTGAGGACATAGTAGAAATATTCCGTAGGATATTCTTCATGAGATATTCTCTACTGGGTGAATACCCGGAGTAATCCTGACATTTTTCTCAGAAATCAGCGAAAAAAATAATAGAGCCACCTAGCGAAAGGGTTAAGATTTTCTATTGTATTATTTCTATATCATGAAATTGTGAATGGTTCCAGGTTCCACTGAAGGCATAGCGATGGCGGAGAATATGATGGAGCACATAGCTCACGCCCTCGGCAAGGACCCGATACAAGTGCGTTTGAATAATATGCCGCCACCGCACAGAGACGAATTAACTAAAATGATAGCTGACATCAAAGCAACATCGGACTACGACGCACGCGTCGAAGCTGTCAATCTCTTCAATAAGGTATCATATGTCAGTTCGACAGCGTGATAATCGAATAAACGGAGAATACGTGTCGCTCTGATTCCGCAGGAGAACAGATGGAAGAAGAGAGGCATCAGTCTACTTCCTATGGTGTATCCATTTCTCGTATTCGGCCAGTGGCACGCCCTCATATCGGTTTACCCGCTGGATGGTACAGTTGCGGTTGCTCACGGGGGAATCGAATGTGGCCAAGGAATCCACACGAAGGTCTGCAAATAATATCTCCGATCATCATTAATGATTCATGATTATTATTTTTAATTGATTTGTCTCGGCAGGTAACCCAGGTTATAGCTCATACTCTGGGAATTGATCTCGATATGATCAATGTGAGGCCGACTAATAATTTTGTGGCACCTAGCAATTTCGTTACTGGGGGAGCTTTTGGTACTGAATGTGCAGCTAACGTAAGCAGTGACAGACATATTCGTCAATCATAATTACCGTTGAATTGTGAAGTTGTCAGTTTTTTACATAAATCTTAAAATTTTAAATATTAAATTGACCATCAATTTGGACATTGAAATTTTTTAATATTTTATTAACTAATAGGGGAGGGTGGGGTAAAATGGACACTGGACTTTTTTTTAATTGTCCATAACTCAGAAACAAATTTATCAATTGAGTTCGGCTTGGGCTCGTCACAAAGGGAAAGAATTGTTCTTTATATTAGAAAAAAATTATTAAATTTCATTCATATTTCACCCCGTCATTAGCATTTTTTAAAAAGTCAAAAGTGTCCGTTTTAGCCGAACCTCCCCTAATTTAGGTAGGAAGATTAACGATTATTTGGATAATAGAAAAATCAATACCTAAATTTAGAATTAGTTTGTTAACTAGAAATTACATTTCAATATTATCCAATATTTTATTCATCATCAATCGGAAAATTTAGTTACTAAATTTTATAATACTTTAAATTAATTAATACTTTAAATCTAAGGGAGATAGCGAAATTTTCGTAATCACATTTGTTGTAGCTCTCAATCGGCTCTACAAAAAAGGTTGTGACAAAAATTTCGCTATCTCCCTTGGATTCCGAGATATTCATTGAAAACTGGGCAATGGTCAAAATTGACTTGTACGGTTTTACCACTTCGCCATTGAATGAATTACGGAAGAATCGCACTGATAGTTTATTATAAGCTGTCCATAGCTTCATTTCTTCTACTGCTTCATTTAATCAGGCAACAATAGCAGCTTGCGAGCAGCTTCTCACACGTCTGGAGCCGATAAAAACTAAATTGGGGAATCCCACGTGGAAGGAGTTGGTTGCTGCAGCATACGCGCAGGATGTTAGTCTCTGCGTTCAAGTTATGTAAGAATTCTGCTCCTTCAATGGATATTTTTTGGTAGTGATGAGGTAAAATGAGATGAATCGACTCAACTCAATGCAAATATTCTCTGTTTTTGAGAATATTTCGGTGTGGGAGGGAAACTGCCGAATTCATTTATGAAAAATATCACATTGAAGGGGAATCGATTTTGCTCTACCACTTCGCTACTGATAATCCTCGTCAGTTGAAATAAGTTTCGATTAATGAATCTGAATGGTCAGGCTGCCGGCTGATATGTCAAAAGCCTATCCAATCTACGGAGTAATAGTCAACGAAGTGGAGATAGATGTATTAACTGGACAGCATCTGATTCGACGAGTTGATGTTATGGAGGATGTCGGTGTCAGCATGAACCCTGACATTGACAGGGGACAAGTGGAGGGTGCGATTGTCATGGGGATCGGATATTGGACCTCTGAGGATGTTATTTATGATCCTGATACTGGGCTACTTGTCAACAATCGAACTTGGGTATGAAAATATGAGAGAAAGTATTTGCATATCGTGAAAGCGTGATTTTATCTTCTGTTGAATTTAGAATTACAAACCACCTGGTGCCAAAGATATCCCTGTTGACTTCCGGGTCACACTGCGGAAGACGAAAAATCCGGTTGGCGTGCTAGGCTCGAAAGGTATAGCACTCAGCGAGTCGAGCTGAATATAGTTATAATTTACTCAACCAAAGAGTTGCAGAAATTTCTCAGAAGTTTTTCTTTTTCTATTTTTTAATCAGAGATGATGAAGAGTGCAGTGTAGAAATGAGAATAATTCGTATGAAAAAATCATAGTCTACGCTGAGAGAAAAACCACAAAGTTCTCAAACTAGTCTTACTTGTGCCAAAAAAATTGGTTTTTGAAAATTATCAAAAAAGGATTTTTTTGCACAGACAAGAAATGAACCCTTGAATGAAACAATAATAATGAAATGATATCAATCTCGTAACTTATGGATAAAATATTCATTGATGAATTTTCCTCTATACGAGATATTTTCATCCTGAAAAGGCACCGTCTGGTGTGAATTATCCGCCTCTTGAGCCAAATATTTCGTTGCTGTCGAAAGCAGAACAATTATTCATGTTTGAGACTTTCAAATTTGAATCAAACAAATTCTTTTTTGGCAATTTTCAACTAGTGATTTTGTTGGCCCAAACAAGACTTGTTTGACAATGTGTTTGTTTTTCTCTCACTGTATAGTTTTTTTTCCATTGAAAAGCAAAACGCACAGAAATCCGCGGGATTTCCGACAGAAATCGGCGAAAAAAATAAGAAAATTTTCAGTAGAATTCCACATCGTTTATTTATGTTCCAAAGCAATTGGCGAACCACCCTTCTGCATGAGCTACTCAGTCCTGTTGGCTATAAAACATGCACTGAGTTCGGCTCGAAAGGATGCGGGAGATGACGGCTCTTGGTATCAACTCGGTCAGTTAAATTTTTCATTTCACATAATCCGTCGCATCGGGTTCCACGACACGTATTCTGTCACATTTAATTCTTCTTGCTTTCGCAGATGGACCAGCCACTACCGAAAAGATACTCCTGACGAGTCTCACCAACAAAGATCTAATGGTGCTGTAATGCCAATACATCTGGAATCCTTGAATAATGTCTAGTTTCACAGCATAAAATATTAAATTAAAATTCAATCACTCTTGTTTATGTAGTTGGTGAATGATAATCTCGTAGTTAGTTGAATAAACAGTTGAGATGATGCAATCAATTATTTATATCACTTATCCTTGAAGTTCAGAGGAAACAAATTTCCATAATCGAATCAAATTCATTATTCTAGATCCAGATAATTCAAATATATCAATTATCCATCAGGCGCCAGCGTACGTGCACGAAAAAACTTCATAAAAAATCCTGCGAGTTCAATTCGCGTTTTTTTAATAGGAAATGTTCGATTGGAATTATTCTATAGCAAAAATCAGTAGAATATCATCTTTCTATACAACTTTTTCTATTGAGACATTTTCTATAGGAATTCCTCGCCGTAAATTTTTGGATTTTTTCCGTTCTATTTTTCTCCTCCTTTGATAAAAAAAAATAAAACAAATAAAATTGGAAAATTTGAGCCAAGGAATTTCTATAGAATATATCTCAACAGTAAAGTTCTATATAAAAATCGAACTATTGATTTTTGTTTTGATAGAATATTTTCTCGCGAATATGTCTATTGGAAATGCAGATAAGCGTTTGTTGGCCTATTTTTACTTACTCTATAGTTATTATTACACTACTGTGTGACTTTAGTCATTTATAATTTTGTACAACATACTGTACAGTGAATAATCTTCAATCAATCAATCAATAAGCTGCAGAATTTTTCAATAGAATCGGCCAAAAAATGATAGAAAATTCTATAGAAAATTCTATTGGGTTTCTATAGAACTTCTATGAAAAATTCTCTCAATTTTTGGTCGATTCTATTGAAGAACTCCCCAGCTTTGCTTTATTTTATTTAAAAAATCAGTAGAATTTCCTCTTTCTATAGAAATCCCTCCTTTTTCCATAGGAATTCCTCGCCATAAATTGGCCAAATTTGTTCCATTCTATTTTTCTCCTCTATAAAAAAAATTGAAACAAACAAACCAAAAAACTTCAGCCAAGGAATTTCTATAGAAAGTTCAATAGAAGTCCAACAGATTTTTCTAGCCAATTCACTGAATTTTTCTGCGAATTTTATCGTACGTGATGCACAGTCGCCATCCACTGTTCCACCGACTGTTCGACCACTCGACGGCTGCGAATGTAACAGTGGAGGGGCATGACCGGTAGATAAATACTTTTACTCCACTCTTGCTAGTCTTTCAACTTTGTCGACAACAGCTACTAAGTGTCTTGTCAGTCAATCGTGTTCAACGATTGAGCATTGCACCAACCGGTTTTACAGATTTGGGACTTCCCAACTCCACTGGGGACTCATCGGCAGGGGAAGACGGGGATAAATATGGGTCAGGGCTCCTATACTTATGTGGGGTAAGCCATCAATGTTCTATTCTTCATATTCTTCATTTTCAATTTAGAACGAAATTATCAATTACGAAATTATTGCTGTAGACGTTAAATCAGGGATCGGGATCGATCATTATATTAACAAATACATTATATTGGCAAATACATTTAAACAAGAATGAGTGTTTATTAAAAGATTTTGGGGCGAGATAAGTAATAAAAAGAAATATGAAGAGGAGTGACACGTCTGCGGACTAGAAACGAAGATAAAGGAATAACGAGTAAGAATGAGACGATCGTACATGAAGGGAGTTGAGAGGGAGGAAAAGAACAATTATGTGCGGATGGAAAAATTTCATCGAAAAACTAGCGCATTCGCTAGACAATTCTATTGAAATGTTTATCAGTTTGGGGCCGATTCTACTGAAATGTTGAATGGAAAATATTTTATTGAAAAAGTCATAGAATTCAGTTTTTCTGTACAACTTATTCTATTGAGGAATTTTCTATAGAATTTCTCGGCTCAAATTTTCCAAGATTTTTGTTTGATTTTCTTGATGAGGAGATGATAAAAATAGAATGGAAATACTTCTAGAACGGAAGATATGAGCCGAGGAAATTTTATAGAAAATATCTGAAGAGAATGAGTTGTATAGAAAAATCGAATTCGATTAATCAAATGATCGTCAATCTACTGAACTCAATTATTGATTCATAAAATAATTCGGTATCTGAATAGTTCATTGGTGGTTCATTTAATAATTTAACAATTAACAATTATTATATTAACCAATTGACTGATGCAAAATTTAACTTAATTTAAAATTTATGATTGTACCGGTGTTTGGTTAACATCGCTGTGGGTCTTGAGTGAAAGCTTCAGTTCCCTTTTTTTATCTATTTTCACGCATGAAATAATTTCGCAGAAAAATCCTGCGAAAAATCGATCGTATTTTTGTTGAGCTTCTATTGGATATTCTGTTCGATTTTGGAAAATTCTATGAAAAAATTCTGCAACTTTGCTGTGCGTTTTTATAGAAAATGTCCAATAGAAACAATTTGATAAAAAAAATCAGTAAAATGTCATTTGTCTGTGGAATTTTTTCTATTGCGACAGTTTCTGTAGACTTTCTATACAAATTTTTACTAAAAAACACCGATAAGCTTCCCAATTTTCGACAGAATCGGCCAAAAACTAATAGCAAAATTCAGTAAAAAAAAAATCCAGCGAATTCGCCAAGTTCTCCATGAAATTTTTTCGTGTTTCCAATGCCTTACGTTCATTCGTTCTTGACATACAGTCCAAATAGTTTGTAAACACATTCTTATCATGCATAAGTATCAAGAAACTGTTCGCAGCTCATGAATACAGGCGATTATTTTTTTCCATGTGTAAAAAGTGAACACTTTTCATGAACCAAATATGGAAAAGAAATATTAGCGATACTAAACACTAATTATCGCTTATTAAAGTACTGTTTATTCTTTGGTTCATCATCCATTTATTTCTCCGGACGATTTAAGGACATCCAAATACTTAAGCTATTTTTTGTTTCCGAATGGAAGCCTTGTTTTCGGCCGATTTTTTGATTTTCTAATTTTGATTGCAAATAGTCTAGAATGTTATGAAACATGAAGAAATGATGTTTTTAGGGTCATATCTGTATCTATCCGACAACTTGTGTTTTTCGTAATTAATTTTTAGAAAATTCAACATAAATACGAAATTTGTAGATAAAAATCTGAAATTTTCAGAGAAATTTTCACAGATCGGTCCATTAATTCCTGAGAGATAACAACTTGTTTAGATTTCGGTTTTCCTCAATATCTCAAAAACTACTGCACCGATTTCAATTTTTTTTTTCAAAATACTCGTCTCAAAGGGCTCTATGTAAGTCAATCAGAATATATAGACTCTTTAATACACACTTTGGAGATATTGCCGTTTTTTCGTTTTTCATGCAAAATTTGAACGATTGCAGAGTTCCGCGCAAAGCTTTAATTCTGAACTCTGCACCGTATTGTAAAAAATACTTGGATATTCTTAAAATAATTTTTCCGTTTCTCATTGCAGAGGAACTCCCAGAGACACTGTAGAACTTACAATCAACGGTGTTGCGTACACCGGTAAGTGTCGAGCATATATAAAAAACCCCGATAAACATTGCAATGGGTTTGACACAAATGGGAAAAAAATTACATCGATGTGTCCCTGTCGCTGATTGCAATTACTCAGCATTCACTGAGTGAGTGATGCACTAAATAAACGTACTCACCATGCAGAGGATAAGTCACGATATTTATGCTATGACAGAAAAAAGTGTTAATGACGATAAGATTGTCCGCTAAAAAGTGAGCACTGGGCTTTATTTAATGCATTATCTTCAATGATTGTTGTATTAAAAGTTGAAAGAAGATTAGATTCTTCGCACTCTTTCATTTTACGACCACTTTTTTTTCTCAATTTTATCTGTGAAATTTTACATACTGAAAATACGAGAACACGTATGAAAAAATTCAACGGAATATAAAACCCGAGCGAATTCGCTAGAAAAGTCTATTGGATTTCTCTACAAATTCTATTGGGATTTTACAAAAATTGTAGTATTAATATAATTGTATAATATAATTGTATATATAATAATATGATAATAATATAATTGTATATATAATAATATAATAATATAAAAGTATATATAATAATATAATTGTAGTGTGTAAAAAAAAAAAAAAAAAAAAATCTAAGAGAATTAGAATTTAGAGAGAAAAAATTTCCGCTTCACCCAGCCGGGAATCGAACCCGGGTCTCCC